AATAATTAAAGGGTTTAAAATAAACAGACATAACAATATGTTAATATTTGAGGAGTGCAGTTTCAAAACTTGCTAACTCCATGCCACAAGGCCTCCTCTCACTGGAGTCGCCCTTGCCTAATAGAAAAGGTGAAAGATGTAACTTGTGTTACCAGAATATTTAATTTCTTATTATAAGGCGAAAGTTGTCACTTGTTTGTGTTTAATAAAAGAAACTATCATTTTCCATTATTTTGTTGTATCAAAATCCGTAAAATAGGCTGTGCAGTTTAAAACAGTAAGTTCAACATATTTTTTACTGTATTTGTTTTTCTACCTGCCGAAAAAGTTTAAATAAGTAGTTAAACATTGTCTTAGAATAGTCTTTGAAGTACCTTATGTATTAGCAGATCTGAAACTTTAGTAATTTTGAAGTCCTAGATTTTCCAATTCTGATAAATCACTTAACAGGGACTACAAAGTTTTTAAATTTAATCCTCATGTATATTTTATAAACCATTTGCCCTAGCAGTGTTATTTTTTCTGACAGAAAATATTTTACACCTAAAATATTTATCCAACCAAACTGTATTCAAGAGATTACAAATGGAAATTTAAATTCAAATATAATCTGTCATCAGTCACCTGTCACTCTTCTTCTTTACGATTGTGAATTCAATGGCCTCTTTTTTAAAGAAAATCGGTCAATTACCACTAGCCTATTTTTATTCAATAATTTAGCCAATGTATTAACTTCTTATTGTATAAGATGAATGCCAAGCCAAATACAAATAAAAAAGAAGAATACCAAATTTCTTCAAGACAAAGGCAATGAAAATATTGAAAATTGAGAAGAACGAAATAACCTAATATAACCTAAAATTTCTTGGAAATACATACAAATATGAATTTTAGACAGGTAATCTAAGCAATTAAGAGTTTAGGACATGGTGTTACTTATGAAAAATTTGAATAAAGCTACAAATTGGTATGTTGGTCCAATTCGTTGTCCAATGATCCCCTATCAAATGCTCCCGAGCTACTTATTGCCATTGTATTATAAAACACAAAACAAACCATTTTCTGCAATAAAAACACTTATAAACTGTAGATTCTGAACACTTGGTGGATGTAAAATCTATTTGAATTATATTACTAACTTTTACAACTTAATTTTTCTTTTTAATGAGAGAATATTCGACTGTGTACTAAGAACTTATAACAAAAAATGTAATGTAAAGCAAGACAATAATGTGCTCTGACACAAAGGATAATTAATTTTTTAACAGTTGAAACAAGTAATGCCATACATGATCATGTTACTTCTATGCATATCCTCATTTGCCAACTGATATAGAGGGGCTTGATTTTAAATTTTATTACTAAGAAGTAGCGTCGTCAATTAAGCTCGACTTCATACAAGTGAAAAACATTTAATCAAAACAGAAATAAAACATAAAACAATAGGAAATCAAAATCTACAGAGGTAAAAGTTATAGTATGTTAAGAATGAGATTAATCAGAAAGTTTATTAAGAATTATATCAGTTTAGAGTTTCTATAACCTGCAATTAAAAATAAACTCACCATTAACGTCTTCTATGGTGTTCAATATGATTAATAGCAACTCTCAATTCATAGTTTTGAAGAAAATCGTCATATTTCTAAATACTGCGATCGACAATGCCGATTTCATTCTGTTTGCTATCATTGTGTACCTCCGTTTCTCTCTCTTCAGAAGATATCACGACTATACCTCTACCAACTAGAAGAAAATGATATTTTTTAGGTACCATAAAAAGAAGTTATCGTATTTGAAATTACAGATCATAATAGGTAACTGTCAGGAGCTCTGCGTCGCTGGCACCCGCCTCCGGGGCCACCCCCTTGCTACGACGCTGATCAACGTAACATATTTACACATAAATATTCAGTGAGAATGTATAGGTTGGAATAAATTTGATATCTTTCTAATCGCATTTTAACCAAACTACAATCGGATGTACTAATGACGTCACCACTTTCGTGAACATAATGCCAGAAAATTATCGAATTTATTTCAACCTATATTTCCCCTCACTATATAATAAAAATTTAACAACGACATATAAATTTACAATAAATCTAGCATCAAATTTCTTTTTACAATCTGAATCATTTTGTAATTCCTATATTACAAAATCATAGACATCGCAAAATTAAACAATTAACCATATAAAACACTAGCAATTCTTTTGAATATTCAAGATTATCTGTAATAAATGCACTCACATCATTTAACCCTAGATTGTCAGTGTACCATTGTGAGTGTACCCCCATTTGACTTGTATATTTCCATATCTCCCTACTCTCCGTTTCTATCACATCGACGTTTTAGATATGCTTTCTTTATTATTTTATTTAGTCTGTCGACCCTGTCGACAGTTGTTGCTACTCGAAGTCGTTCTTTTAATACATCTGCGGCTTCTCGATGGGATCTGCTACGTGGTCTTTTAATGCAGAGCTGGTAAATCGAGTAAGATCTATTTGCTCCGAGTTAAATTTTAGAGCTTTCGGAGTAAATGGAATTTGTCCGTAGTGTGATGTACAATTTAAAGTAATGCAAGGTATAATTTGTCATACCTAACTATAATTTCATAGTGGTAAATTCTTAGAACTAGATCAATTATTAAAAATCTCAAGGTCTGCTAAACCCTAAAGAACTTTCTTTAATTTTAGATATTTAGAGCATGACTACACAGCCTCTCCCCAATCCATCAATTTCTGACACATAGGTATATTGAAAATTTGATTAGTTCTTTTCGCAGAGTTTTTAATGTGATTATATAAATTTTTCTTCTATTATCAAATATTTCAAAAAGATATTGCCGCTTTAGAAAATTTTGATGTAATATTTGTTATCAATTAATGAACAAAAATTTAGTTTCCAGTTAATTCCGTAGACTTCAAAATCTCAACCGTCTCTAAGATTTACATCAAAATTCCAAGGAATGATAAGCCTGACATAACACAAATCACCCCAACGTTTTGTAAGAGTTTCTGGACAAGTCCACCCCTACCCTTACAAAGGGGTTGGGGACTTTTCAGTCCCCGAGAGGGATTTTTTCAAATCCCCATTTCTTCTTCCTCTTTTCTCCTCTTCCTCTTTTGCCAGTATTCCTACAACCCCTTACGATTACAGGAAATAGCTTTTGGAATAAAGAGCCGATCTACTAATGAGACGTGCTGAGCTTTGAAGTCTAGGAGCCCAATCTCTAATGGACTAACTATGTGTAGTTTACTAAATAGTTTTCTGATTTGTAGTTACGATTAAAATTCAATCACTAGTGCTGCCATCTCTAGATATTTCTAGTATTTAGTATAAATTAAAACTAATTTAATTATTTATGGTATGTTCGGCGATAATTTTTTACCATGTTGTCCGATTTCTGTGATTCTTTTGTTAGAAAGGGGGTAGGTACCTCAGGGGTGGTCCCATATAAATTTGGTTAGGTTTTTTAAAATTACCTTTATGACTTGTGTACCTACTTACTATAGGTATTTAGGTATACACAACTGATTCGTGAAAATTATTAATTTCTTTGACACTTTCCATGAATTATATAAAAAAATTCAAGTATATAAATTAAAATAATTGTGCCGCTGCAAAGTAGTTGCAAGACATATATAAATTAAAAACTGGTCGATTAATTTTTTTGTGCTCGTGAGAACTTTTAATCAGCACACCAAAATTGCATGGAAAGCCATTTTCTATAATGTTTATGACACCCTTGTCAATGAATGTTATTTGTGATATACTTAGATATCCATACCCCCCCCATACCCAACAAAGACAAAAAAAATTAAAACCCACATGTAGAAAAAGATTTAGCTCAAAAAAGATGTGCACACACCACACACCACTTGAATTTTGGTTTCAGAAAGATTGTTTTTAAAACTATCGATCTTCCGAGAATTTATTTTTATTCAAATTAATAGTATGTAAATGTAAAATAATCAAAAGCTTTCTCCTCTTTTTGCCGTTCTTACACAAGAAAATTTTGTTTGTAGTTTAATTCCGTAGACTTTAAAACTCAACATGCCTCAAAGATTTACATCAAATGTTCAAGGAATGATTTGCCTGACATCTCACAAACCACCCCAAGGTTTTTGCAAGAGTTTCTGGACGAATCCACCCCTACCCTTACCCAGGGGTGGGGACTATTATCGCAGCCCCCAAGCGATTTTTCAAATTCTTCATTTATTTGTCTGTCTGTACTAGTGTACTTCCTTTTTATGCCAGTATTCCTATAAACCCTTACGATTACAAGAACTTAATTTTGAACAAAAGACTCGTCTTCTATAAGAAGCAAATTGAGTTTGAAGTCTAGGGAGTCCAATCTCTAATGGACTGATTATAAATAGTTTGCTGAATAATTTTGTGCTTTGTAGTTACGAGTTGATAATTACGTCACTAGTGCTGCCATCTGTAAGGGATTTTCAATATTAAGTATAGATTAAAATAAAACTAATATTTATCAAATGTTTACGTAATTTGATGATTTTAGCCTAGTGAGTATTTTATCACACATTTATTTTAATATATTTGGTATTATTGTAATGAATGAACAATAATTTTAAATAAATTTGCTTATCTAAAGAAATGTGCCCAGTTTGTAGGCAACCAGTTATACGTTTTCACTATTAAACATTTTATCAGCATTATTTCTTGGTATAAAATAAATAACAGCACTACACAATGTGATCGTGGATAGTTAAATGTTTAATAAATAGTTATAATATATTTTTTTACAAAAACGTAATTTTTTTTTCTCTATTCGTTATCGCTTGCTCGCCCTATATTTGTTTCTGCCCCAGTTTTTAGGCAACCCGTTATACACTCATAATTTTTGTAAAAATTAAGATTTTCTTGTACCTACTTGGATTTATTCGTTCGGTAAATGTTTGGGTATTATAAATATATTATATTTCCCATTATCAATAAAAACCAAATAAAACTTTTTATTTTTTACCGTTTTACTACGTAACCATAGTCTTTAACTTGTCAATGTCAAGAAACGTCACTTTGTTTGTTGTTGTTGACAAAGTTTAAACGAGAATAATGAAAAAAAAGTTTTTATATGCATGTTTTTTAAATATTTTCGCACGCTCATAAATTAGGGAGACCACATTTTTTTTATTAAAATACAATTATCAAGTGTACTAAAGTTAAGAAAAAATATGTCTGATCCCGGAACGTTTGTTTCTAGTATTAAAGTTAAAGGAATTCAATTTCTACCACCTGTGGTAAGTACCTGCATTTATGGCCATATTGTTATTAATTATTTAGATATTTTAGTTTGTTTAATATAAAGATTGCCTAAATTAATTATGTAAAAATTTAACACATTGCCTGCTGTTTCTTTCATGTATGAAAGACAGTGATATTTCTGCAGAAGACGTCTATCATTTTTGTAAGACTGGTGCGTTTCTACTCACGGTGATACCATTCAAATATTAATGACACCAAAGTATATTTTAAATGAGAAATCACAGCTCCCAACTGAACATACTACAAATGGTTTTAGAAAAAAATGTAAAGATTGAAAGTTTCTTTGTACAAGGTACACAAACTGTGTTTTTGTTAATAACCTATTAGGATCATATTACAATACTTATGCCTACACAAAAAAAGAAGAAATGCTTGTTTGCTGTTTTCTTTGAAACGTACAGAAAAATACAATCTTTCCTGCAGGGTTACATCTTTCATATATGAAAGACACCAAAAAATTAAATATACTTAATAAAGAAAGTTGTAACAAATAAAAAAAGAACTAAAAATAGTTTATTTCAATACAAATCATGTAAAATAACAGACTGGCCCACAGCATTCATTTTGTGATGACACCTTGAAATGCAATATATTAATATGTTAATGTTATAATTAGATAAATCCAAAACGTCGAACCGAGATCGAACGAGACAGACAACAGGCTATTAAACTAGAGAAACGATTACAGAATACCAGGAAGTTAAAAAAAGATCTCCATGATCTGTTAAGTATACGCAACATTTCCAACCATTCCCAATCAAACAAAAAATCATTCCCAGTTCAATTAAAAAAGAAATCAAATCTGAGCAAGTTAATTGTAGATGTGTCTGAGTACAGCAATGATGGTATCAAATTAATTGACAAAGATTTTGGTTCCTTGAGAGAATCTTTTCAAGGTCATACGGATATTTGTACGCAAGGGTATGATACTGACACTTTATCGAATAAAACCGATGCTTCATCAAGTAAGACATGTGAAATTAGTGGTTTTAGTTTAACCTCAAAGTCAACAAGCAGTAAGGGGAGCTCTGTGGAACAATGCCCATTGTTGGATTTAAGTAGACTTAGTAATAGTACCAGCCAGGTAAGTTGACTTGATACATGCTATTTCCTTTATAAAATGTTATATTTCTGGGCAATTTATTATCATAACTTAGCTCTAAAGGTATTGTTTATGGATAAAGTTAGATACATAATATGGTAGATATTTTCATTAAAATCTGCTACTACTATTTAAAAATTTGTTTCCGCGCCTTGGCAATGCAGTGATGTCAGATCCAGATGGTCAAATAAAAAATCCCTAGACACACAGGGAAAATGTTCCTAGAAGTATATAGATCACAAAGCACGTATCTTCTAGGGGAGACCCCACGCCAGTGGTAAACTTTTAAACCAAATTAGCGCCACCTTGAGTTTGGAGCAGGAATTTAAATGGCAATTGACAGATGGCAGTAAATTCTAATTATAATTTTTAGTAGTAGGTAATAGTCATAGATTAATAATGTGAATAGATGGGAAACTCAATGGTAATATTCTGAGTCGATGTGCTGCCATCTATCAAATTGGAGTGGTACTAAAATTCAATATGGCCGCTTAGCGCGGGCTTTTTGAAATTTAACTTTCTGCTAGTCGCGCAAAAATATAATGAAGAAAATCAAACAAAAAAAAAATAAATTGGCAAAATATTTGACTAGTTTCAAATCATAAAACAACCATATTGACTGTTTAAAAAGTAAAAAATTAATTCTTCTAAAACAGAAACAGTTATTCTTTCAAAAAGGCGTGTCCAAGGTGTAGACACGCCCCTTCAGGTAAACAATCAGCCAATCCCCGTAAAAAGGGAAATTAAATATCTTGGGTTTCTACTGGATAAAACATTATTGTTCAAGGCCCACATAAAAGACAGGGTGGCGAAAAATTCCGGTATTCTGAGGTCTTTGTACCCCTTAATGAATAATAATAATAATACTCTCCCTAATTCACCCCCTTACGAGTGAATTTCAACCCCTGAAGTCGACTGAACGACTTGTGTAGGGGAAGGGACGGCTATTATTATTTGCCGTGGCGCTTCGGGGCGACTTAAAGATGATTGATGGTGCCATTTGACTTACAAGTGAGGAAAACCTGGAAAACCTCACCCACCATCATCGAGACGGTAATGTATGGTGAATTTTTTTAATCTGCATCATATCAACAGAAATTGAATTTCTATTAATACGCCACACATCAAATCCTAAACCGAACCATGCAATTTAATTAAAAATCCACATGGTCTGGTCTGGGATTCGAAACCCAGCAGTCTCAGACTCATAAACTTGCCTATAAATGAATATAAGCGCGATAGACCGCTACACCACCGTCCCGATAAATAGGCGGAGTAAGCTATCATTGTCGAACAAAATACTACTTTTTAAAACAATATTCAGGCCTATACTGACATATGGTTGTCCAGTGTACTGCTCAATGCCAAAGTCATCCTTTCTACCCCTGCAAAGGGCCCAAAACAGATGTCTGAGGCTAGCCCTCGGCTACGACCGCTATGCTAGGATACGTGACATACATACAACGACAAATATGCCAATGATACAAGATTTTATCATTCAAACTTCTGAAAACTTCTACGCGCGATGCCTCCCTGATGAATTGAGGGATAGCATCACTCTAATTCACCAGGGGGACGGCGTGCGTAGAAAGCACGGCTGCGTTCATAAGAGTCTTGGCATATACAGGCGACAGTAACATGACCATTGACAAACATCACACCACTAAACAATAATTCACACGGACTGGATATTTACGAAATCTAGTCCGACGGAGGACTGAGCGATAAATCGACCGGCGGAATCACGGCCGAGAGCGAATTCTCACACTCGACCGGGGCACTCCCGGGCGGTTTATAGCCCATCCTCCCAGTGAATTAAGACAAAAAACCACAGACTAGTACATGACCACCTATCACAAACGACAACCCTGTTTTTTCTAGCTTTTTCAGGGGACAATACGAAATTAAGACAAAACAAACTTATAAACACTATACAATTCCTGACCATAACCTCACAAATCCCTTGATTATACCCCCAGGGTAAGGAGTAAGGGCAGCTATGTTTTTAGCACCACCACAACAGTCAAATACGCAACATATAAAAGGCGGGGGAATCGCCTTTGTCTTTAACGGTTCTCCGTTAGGGTCGCCGAATGTACTGCGTACATGAGGTTTTTATTTATGTGTGGATGTATTGTAAAAATATTTTTAAAAATTGAATAAAGAATTTAAAAGTAAAAAAAAAAGTTAAGTAAAAGTAGACAAACAAATATTAATTAAATTTAGCAACAAATTCTACGATGAATAATTTCTCTGAGAAACCTGATTAGAAAAATACTTTATTATTAAAACAAAGCTAGGCACTATAATGCTTTTACAATGTTCAAAAAATCACGCCCTATTCCCTATATATGCCTACGCCTATGCTAATATTACCTTACAGTTTGTTATACAAAGTTCTCATCATCCTTAAGTTCAAATATTTAACTCTTTCTACTCACATCTCATTTAAAAACGAATACTTCCATTTTTCTAGACTCGAACTCCGTCCCCTCGAAAATCTCCGAAACCAAGATTGATCCGAAGCAACTCTTACACGTTAGAGACCCCAAGCCCTATACTATTGGCTCATTTAGAAAAATGCGGCAAAATTAATCACGATAGAGTTCAAATCGAAGAACCGGTTTTGTCAAGGACTTGGACTTCTTTGGAAAACAATTATGTACCGTTCGAGCAAAGCGAATTCAGCAGTTTGAACACTGTCTACCATTTCAATGACAAACCTGAAGGTATGAAGACTACATAATTTTGTGAAAATATGCTTCTAATATTCGTTAATTTGTTTATATAACCATTTCAATTTTTTAGTATTCAACAAAACAGAAAAAATTGCAGAACAACAAGTACCAGAAAAAGACAGCTCCAAAGACACATCCCCTACGATCGAGGTCATCCAAACCGACATTTCCGTACAACAAATCACCGTCAACGCCAACACAGATCGCGTAGAACCCGTCAAAACGACGCTGGACCTATCGGATCCCGATTGCCAATTAATGGAAGTCCTCAAAAAAATCCCTGAAGACTATTCCAGACAAATCGTGGAATTAATCGAGAAACAACGGTCCGAGCACAACGTCAAAGTGGATAATTTTAGTAAACAGTTTAATAGGAATATCCCTTGTTCCACTCCGTCTCACGATGAAGATACATCTAATTACAGCGTTGTTTCTGCTTCGCCCAGTCAGTCAATCTACTACAGTTTCGGTTCTTCCGATACACTGATGCCGAGCACGCCATTGGCGAGGATGACTGATTTGGATACTTGTCAAGAGGAGGGTAGCGTCAAAAATAATTTTAGCAGAGATGTGATATATGAACGTGGTGCTAGGCAGCATGACGATAGCCTACGTGATTTTGGCAGAGATATGAATAGGGATGTATATGAAGGTGCTAGGCAGCATGAAGTTAGTAGTAGACGTGATTTTGGCAAGAAGGTGTTTAGCAGTAACTATGGAAATATTGATAGTATTAAAAAGGTTAGTTGGTAAATCTTAACGACAGTAATATCATAGAAAAGCCATAAATCAGAGTAAAATGGTCGTCATTTTTAACGAGGATTTACTTTGAATATAAAATTGCAGTAGGCTTTTTTTTTTTTGAACGAATTTTCTATTATTTTGCACTTTTTTTTAAAAAACTTGAAATTATTAAATCAACGATTCTTTATTGATTCTCGTCCTTATTAACAAATTGTTCTGTTTGCTGTAAGATAGGATTTTTAGTACTTACCAAATATATTTTCTAGTATTTTTTACTTGTGTTGAATATACAACAGTTTAGTTTTCTTGATTTTCCCTAATTTCGAACTATCTATGATTTATGTTTCCTGTCTATTTTTTAACGAACTTCAATAATTTTGCACTCGTTTTGCGATTTAACACTTGAAATGACTAATTCAACAGTTTTCTATTGATTCTTGTCTGCAACGCAAAGTTTATTCTCCGATTTATGTTTTCTTTGTGGTAATGTTTTACTAATTATATTACCTGAACGATTCTGATCCTTCTAATACCATATTTGTATTTAAAAAATATTTTAGGAATGGGCGGCTTGTGTGATAGGTGCGCACGCCAAGGGATATCTAACCAGACGTCTCCTAAAAACTGAAAGAGTTCAATCTTTAATCGAAACGATAAGGGACGCGCTTTTGTGCGCCCTACAGCTCCACACAGTTGAAAATATTGACGAGGCTGACATAGAATTACACAGGAGGCTGATAAATCAGGTATGCTAGACGTTACGAGTTACAAACAGGTAAATAACAAAAAAAATCTTTAATTGTTAATATGATGTAAATTTTGTACTTTTAATAGGTTTTAAGTTCCTTCATTATTAATTATTGTTTTGTTGTAATTTGTGAAAATTGTAAGTAGGTTTAGATTCGTTTTAACTACAATTGATCTGAGATAAAGGCCATCAAACAAAACACATACAAATAAGTGTCTGGCAATTCCTTTATAAGAATCGCACATTTTACAAGCTACAGTTACTACAGTCCACAACCGTTTCTAGCTGATGGGAAGGAACCCTTATAAAAGAAATTGACGTCGCATGAAAACAGAAATAATTAAAAACAGTTTTGATAATTTTGACTTCTTTAACTTTTATGTAGAGCTAGTCGAATTCAACATTGCCCTAATTAACCTATATTTTCGCTTTCTTCTTTTTTAATTGGGTCATGTCTAAGTGTTATTCCTCTTAATTGAATATTGGTGTAATCTAAATGAATGGACTGTATTTAGATCGTTTGTATCTGTAAATAAATAATTCGATCTCCGAATGTTAATTCAAAAAATATGTTTTAGGTTTCAGCAGCTTGTTACGAGTTTCACGACATTTTCTTCTCACTGTCAATCACTGACAAGATGTCCGTAATATCGACCGATAGAAAGAGACGCATGGAAAAAGCGAAAAGATCGAAATCGGGATCCGATTTGCACCGATCCGTATCGAATTCGAGTCGATCGTCGACGAGAAGCGTCGCTTCGTTGACGTCTAGCTTAACGAAAATTTGACAAAAACGACGTCACCGAATAAAATAAATTTGTTCCAATTTCGTATGCTAGAGAAAAATCGTTTTTTAAACAGTATCGTTTCAATTGCAGATAAGTTTTAATCTTTACTCGGCTTTAACTTCGAATTTGTTGGTTTTAGGACAAACGTGCCCATAACCTTTCTAATAGATAATTTAATTCCTTTTAATTTTGTATGTTTGTTTTTGTCATAAGATTGATAGAAAACCATTTCTGTTCATAAATTGTATATTTAACTAGCTAAATGGCATAACCAATAATCCAAATAACTTGTGCGTTTTGAATATGAGTTTATTATATTTGTATAAAGTCACCAGGTTTGTACCTTTTCTCTCATTTTTGTTTTAATTACAAAGTTGGTGCTTCACAATTGATCTGAATACATTAGCTATATTGGACTTGGTCCGATGTTAACTGACTACCAACCGTAACTAACCAGTATTTTTTACAGCAGTTCTTGAAAAACATAGTATTTGATTCACAGATTAATAGTCATGTCACTTTTGTGACATTTGACTTAATGGTAACCCTATAAATATACTGGCTAGTAGACTGACATTTAAGTAATCATTTTTCATCCAACCGCATCTCATTTTTACCGGTTTTTCAAAAATGTTGAGCAGATTTTGGATCGCATTAAGAATATTTCGTATGACGTAATTTGTTCTTGTGACAAATGACAAAAAAATAAAGGTTATTCATTAACATTTTTATTTATATTATTTTCAAGATTGAATTCATTTAAACACAATATTTAAAAAACTGTCAGTGTCAATTATGATGTTTTTGTTAAGTCAACTGTCATTGTAAAACAAATTACATCACATTAATCTAGCGTATTGAGTTGCTAGGATTTGACATATCTTTTTAGTAACAGAGTGCTATTTTTTCCATTTGGTGATTATTTATCAATTAAAAAACGTTAGTGATATATTTTTAAAAGTTATTAGTTTTTAAATTCGTTCTTTAAAACTAAATATTAATTTTGACATATTTACCAGTCTTTGTGTCGGACCTGTGGAAATGTCAAAAAATTAGGTTATGTTTTCTGTAATGGAATAATGATGTATAACCAACTTAAGTCAAATTTGTGTTAACTGTTTAAAAGTGAAAATAAGCAAAATGTTTTGACTTGAACTCGAAAACAAAATAAGACTGGTAGAATTACAGACATTGGTTTAGTAACGCTTCCTTATTTTTTGTTTTACATGTATTTTGAAAATCATTAATAAATTCGACGAAATCCTCCTCCATTTTATACGATTTCGGTGATTTTGTTTTTATTCACTTCCTGCTGCGTTTATATTTTAACAAAAATGGTTTTTTTTGGATTTCCGAGATGATTTAGAGAGAATTTGCAACGATTTCGAGTGAAAAAGTACCAATAATTTTTAAAGTGGTTCACCCCTAAGTTTTGATGCTGTTGTTTTATGTCAAATTTGGTTGAAGTTGGCAACATTGTATTCCAAAAGTTTACCGTACTATTTCAGATATTTCGGTGATCTAAGTGTTGATACTTACCAAATTCTTCCTCGTTCTTTTTGACAATCATGAATGTAACTTCCAATATTTACACTAATTTGTATTTTTTTTTTTAGTATATTACTGTCGAATATTTTTGTATTATCCATTTTTTATACTAAACGTGTTCATTTCAGTAATTTCTCATATCACTGATATATTAATCTGTCAAAAAATGACATTTGACATTATTATCAAGTAAGACTGTCGAAGAATGCATAGATATGAACATGTTGATCTTCTAAAAAGTGTCTTGCAACTGTGGCCTTGATAAAATAAAATGTGAAAAAGAATACCAAAGCCACTAATAAAACTGTTTTATTAAGCTTTTTCGTTTTATTGAAATTAATAACACAAAAACAGTATAATATTCATTTATATTTACAAGTCTAAAAATTGATGCCTACAAAAAGAATAATAAATAACATTTTACGGTAGCACTGACTACAGCCAACATAATAGGGCAATGTTTAAAGGGCCATTTCAATGGTAAAACCGAAATTTATAGCATTAAACCACGTTAAGAGGTCACAATTGTTAAAATGACATGACAGAATTACATTTATTAAAACGTATACCTAGCAAACTAATGGCCGTGTTCACCGCCGTAAAACGTGTTTTAAGAATCATATAATCATGTTTCATAATCGGTTGAGCTGACGCTGAACGATTGTTAATATGTACTCTCTTTTTATAACGAATATCCATTTTTTTATAAATAAATAACCACGTAACCTAACAAAATTCTAACAAACAAAAGTTCGAGGTCGACTGTATCACTTTTAATCGTAAAGGCGTATTATATTTGCGCTTTTACAACACGTTTGAAGACGGTGAACACGGCCAATGCTTTAACCAAAAATATAATTTTAATGTGAAGTCACAAGTGACGTTCCTCAAAACGACCAAGTGACGTTTATAAGAACGACAGATGACGTTTATAAGAACGACAGCTGACGTTGCTAAGAACGACAGGTGACGTTACTAAGAACGACAGGTGACGTTGCTAAGAACGACAGGTGACGTTGTTAAGAACGACAAGAGATGTTGCTTAGGACCGATTCCACCGTTGTGTTAAACGGAGATTAAAATGACAATGTTAATGTAAAAATATCATTTTAAACTTGAAGTGAGTTTGGAACGCGAAAAGTGTATATTTGTGGATATCCAAAAATCAGTTATTAACGCTTGAGATGACATGATTTAGGAGCGAATGTTGACATTTAAAAGTGGCAGATGAGTTAATCGGAAAAGGTAAATAATTTCTGTAGCCTATAAAAATCCAATAATAATCAATGCCGAGGAATATGATGTACGAATGGTGGGGAGGTATTTAAAAAAAAACATTTGAAACAATGCATGATAACTGACAGAACCTTCAACAAATGACGTTTCTGCTTGTCAACAATTATTTTTGTTACTGCTAACGGTTTTACCAAAAAACTATCTTCATGTAATCAAAAATACCCTTATCGAGATGTATGCCCGCGAAAAGCCTACAACAACTGCACATTTATTTAAATACTGATCTATCCAGTTGTTTTAAGCTCTCGAAAAAAAATATTCAAAATGGTGTTTAACGTATAAGACGACACATTCAAATAACCGAAAACATATCAATAATCAAGGCACATAATTTAAATTTATTATTTTACTATAAATATGTATTCAATTTATCACTTAGTACGGAATGATTCTAACATACGGTATTTACACATGATGCATATACAAGGGGCGGCCCGAAAAATCTACTCGGGAACGTCAAAATTGCAAATTTTAAGAATAAAGTTGGTTTGAAAACGAACATTTCGGGCTCCCACTAGTTCTGAAAAAGGTACTCCTTACCCTTTAGCGTTACTAAAAAATACATTTTCTTTTTTAATAAATATAGTCAATAGTAGTAAACAGATTTTTTTATACGGTAATTTTAACATAATATACGAGGTGAACTGATAATATTTAGCAAAAATACATGGAAAAATACTATGGTTTTACTTGAAATAAAATATTGCAAAGAATCGATGAATATAGTCGGAAAAATCGTTGAAATCGACAATTCTGACATATTAAAACGAATTCACTTGAATAATAATGCTAAAAGATCAACAATGACAGTTGTCAATAATCAATTTTCTTACATACTGATAACTGACACCTCATATGACATTGTTTTAACTCAAATTATGTCCGGTTTTGTACTAGTTAGGTAGAAACTCCGATTCAAAAATTATTAAGGTGTTTTGAATTATAATTAAATTATATATTATGTAGTGGATAGAGATAAATTATTATCGAAATGACTTTTAACCTTAACTATGTAGTTGTACTGGTAATATGAAAGACAGGTCCTATTCTCAGGAAAACTCTTCTCAAAATGGACCTGAGCTCCGCTTTGAGGTCGAAGCATACGATCTCGCAAAGGTGTGGGTAGTACCTAGCTATGTGGACAGCAAACTAAAAAAATATTGGGCAAACATGTTAAACGGTGACGGCAGGATTTAAGGAACATATTGAGATTAAAACTGTTACTTACCCTGTTATCATCCATCTTCAACAACCTGGTCATAATCAATAACAACAACGACGTCCAGGCTTCCCGGTGCCCTTCGCTTTGCAGCCTGAGGAAATACTCCAAGCCTTCTTGGCACACCGTCAATAAGGTACTTTCTATCACCGGCCAATATTTCCGCCTACTGTCGTCACAGTACATCTTGAATAGTATCCTAAGCAGACACGCCAGACTTTGGGTTTCTTGTTTCAGGAGGTTGGGCTTCGTTTGGCCCTTGTAGCCCGCTTTCCAAAGAAGGTTGCGTTGTTCGTGGTTGAGGTTGAACGCTTTCGCGAATCTGGAATTGTTAACAAATTTGAAGTGAGACTTTCAGCTCTTCCGGAAAGCTTACCTGTGTGATTTCAAAAGGCACTCGGTCAACTGCAATAAATGGGGCGAGCTCAGCAACCTGTACATCCCTTGTTCTTCCCGTTGGCACTCCGTTAAGGAACCGCCGCCGGTCATGTCGGCAGCGGCAAAGGCCAACGTCTCGGCGTCTTCTTTTCGTGACGTGGCCGGATAGAAAACTATATTATCGATAGTTTGGATGAGTTCCAATTGCACGGCGCTTTTGATTGCGAGACTGTTGAAGACTTCCACGTTATCGACGCTGACGTCTTGGTGGTAATTGGTTCGTTTTAGAATGCCTGGATCAAGTACAAACGAGGATATATAAAAAGCAACAAAATTGTACATATTTTAAAATAATAGTATTATTTTATTTTGAGGAACAATCATAATACGTATAAGTAAGACAATTCTTAAACAAAACAGTGTCAAGGAAAATATATTAATGATCATATAGAGTAATATTCATTAATTGTATATGGTTCTAAATTAATTAATAATTCATGTACTTCCCTAGAGGGCATTTCTGTAATTCAATATATGTATAGTTTGGAGTACGTTAACCAAAAAGTAAACGCTCAAAAAAATAATGTTTTCGTTGAAGTACAAAATACAATTTGAAGTTTTTAAACGCATCGTTACAGGCAATGACAATTTTTTTTACAATTAAAAAATAGGTTAATAATAATGTGTTTATTTTCAACAGGATCGCCCAAAAACAGAAAAAAATACAATAATACAAAAATAATAAAAAATAACAAAGAAGTGCATACAGAGAAGTACAACAAATAAAAGAAAAAATTAACAATTGGTCTTTTAGTTCTATATATGCCTTTAAGATGGTGCTAATGTGGTCTTTATTAATGTCCCACTATTGACAGACTTTTAAAAATATTGCACATACTTATTTTGTTTTCATTATGTGTATACACCAGAGCCCATAATCTTAGGTATGTATTAAAACGTATATTTGAATATGTATGTGTAGTTGTTAATTTTTACGTTTACATTAGTAGTAAGTAAGCCACTTTGATAATAATTCCAAAATATTTCCCCAGATCTGGGGGAAAATTATGAAGATTTGTAGATAAGGCAAGACCGCTTTTACATTCAGTAGATTGTAAGTACTTTCATATTTCCCCAGACAGTCAGAGAGTCTTTAACCAAAAAGCTGTCAAAAAACGGCTACACCACTCCCTCAGCTGTGACCTCACGTGCTGGTACTGTCCGAATCTTTGCGGGAGATGCTAACGTTAGCGGCGTGAGGAAAACCTCCTTTGGCGCCATTTCTTATGAACAGCTGCCTTCACGCCTCGCTGGCTGTCTGGGAAAATATAAAAGTACTTACCATCTACCTCATGTAAAAGCGATGTTGCCATGTCTACAAATCTTTATAATTTTCCCCAGATCTGGGGAAATATTTTGGAATTTGTACCTAAGTATAGTTTATATGCAAAACAAAAGTTCGATGCACGTCACTAATGTCGTCATATTTGCCAAGCATTGTGCCCAACTTTTAAAAATAAACACATAAAACAGATTAAGTTTAATACCTACAGTATTTAATTTAATATTAACAAGAGATGATAGAAAATGTTAAAAATCAGAATTAAATCATCCAAGACAAATACATATTATAAATATTCAACTTTTGGTTATAAAATAATTAATTTTTTCTTATAGTAGGTTGGTAGGCACTGACTTTCAAGTCGCATGGTTGCTGTTTTCATCCGATTCCGATCAGTACTTTTAATTTTCAATTTGTTTTTGTCATTTTGCTTTATTCATTCTTCCTTACTAATATTTCGAGTTATTAAATAAAACTGGTATTTTAAGAACATAAAACAGTGTAATAATTGGGGGAAAATGCCAAAGCAACTAAATAGTCGTTGGAAAGAAGTGGTAGCTTCTTTAATTCAATTTTTTGAACGAGAACGAGACAATCATGACCCTTTCTTACCTATTACGGCTGTTCGAGAGGTTAGTCAAAAATTTTAGAAGTTTATAGATACACAATATGAATTTTTTTTTATTTTAGCGTGTGGCAGCTGCACTTAACCTAAGTATGTCTACAGTTTCTAGTATTTCACAAACTGTTAAAGAACATGCTGCATTAAAATCGCCCCCAAAGATATAATAAAAGAGTTAATAAATACGTGTGGAATAAGAGATGTAATTTACAAGACAAAATGTGCGACTTTTGATAGTTTAATTCGAAATAGGCAGTTTTAAATGAAAGTTTACGAGAATTATTATTTTTAAATGTACTTTATCTCTAGAAATCTTTCTTGACAATTTTAGAACATTCTTAGATTTTGTAAACTTTATAAAAGTTTGACAAAATTGTCTATTTGTAACGTATATTTATGGTGACGTGCATCCAACTTTGTTTTGCATAAACTGTAGCTTACATATAAATTACATTTACGTTCATCAGTTCATTTTTTAGAATTTTTAACCCAGGACAAAAAAAAAACAGTTTCTAGATTAGTATAAATAATTACGAGTGTTCCCCTTAACATAAATAACAACATACCTTTGTTGGGAGCGATGTCCCCGTTTTGTTCAATCACAGCCATAGTTTTCATGGATTCCGGTTTCCAAGTCAGCAGCGCCGAAGGTACCGTCGATTTAAAAATATCTAACATACATTGAGACGTTTTATCCCACGTGTCTTCATTGAATTTACTTCCGTTGCTATTGACTAAGTTTTCTAGACAATTGGTTCCGGATCGTGCCAACTGTTCGTTGTCCTGCAAACAAACAATAAAAAAAGATGATCATTCTTATTGATTTAAATTGCCTTTAGAAGATTTTATTATATCTAATAAAATATCGAAATCATCATGATGGTGGGTGAGGTTTTCCTCACCTGTATGTCAAATGGCACCATCAATCATCTTTAAGTCGCCTGGAGCGCCACGGCAAATAATAATAATAATAATAATAATAGCCGTGCTTTTCCCTGACAAGCTCAGCTTTTGGGGTAAAAATTCACGCGTAAGGGGGTGAATTAGGTAGAGTATTATTATTATATTGAATATAAATTACAATTAAGAATAAAATAGAGAAAATCTGTCCCGCGAAAATCCGAAAATACTTACCTGTTGTACGCACCAATGCAGCTGCGAGTAGAGTTCTTCGAGTAAAAGAGGTCCCAATACGTCAAAATATTGCGTGAAAACGTCCACGATCGCATAAAGGGCGTGATTGCACGTCGTCGTCATCCATTCATCCTTTTCTGGTTGTTTTTCAGGGAGTTTCATGTTGTCAAATATCCTGGTAAATAAGAAAAAATATTGTCTCCATTTCCTTAGGAATTAAATTCGTCTTACCTGAAGAGAATTTTAAACAAGTCCTTCCACCAATGGGGACTGAAAGTGTCGCCGTAGGTTTTGATTACTTCGAACATAACTGTAAGAGCGCGCGTTCTAACGTCTAATTTGCACCTATTCACCACGCAGGATAATGAAAACAGCAATGGGAACCAACCACGTACCCACACTCGATCGTCTTCCGACACCATTATGTCATTCTCCAAGCCTAAATTAAAGACAAATCAGAACATTAGGAAAGTTAAAATTATAATCTAGTACTTTCATAGTAATGACTGCGTTACTTTCAAAATTATAAGTCCAAAAATTTCTCACAAATATAAAAGTAATAAAGAAATACAAGTATCCTTCAATAGAAAGGATGTCAATCAAAGGTTTGCAGGGAGCTTGGCCTTAAACAATGTAAGAATCAGAAATATAAACAATTCTCTAAAACATACAAAGGGTTCATTTATGATGCTATGAAATCAAGATTGTTGCCATTTTCGACCAATCTGGTCATACTAACTACTTAAGGCCCTCTTTACCTCATTTGAGTTATCACCTTTTCCCTTAACTAAAAGTATTTAATTAAATAAGTCGCCTCCGAAAACCCCTATTAATTTGCCTGTGTTCCGCTATCGCTTGTCGAACGAGACACAATATGCGGAGAATGTAAGGCGATCGATGTAGAAACTAATAGAAAGTTGTCAAATCTGATCAAACACATTCTGGGAATATTTTAGAACCAGTGCGGTGCGCAGCATTTTATATAAATCGGATGTATGCTGTCGGAATGTCGGAAAAGTTAAGTTTATAGACAGAAGTTGAAGATAGACATTCGAATTGTGTATGTAAATAAATTATAAATAATAAACTGTTTTAAATAAACAAACGTGACATTATGCTTAAGTTGAATAAATTAATTTTTTGTTTTCTTTAATAAAATCGAAAAAAATATGTAAATATATGTATTGCATGAATTAAATACAAAGTTACCTCCATATTCCGCAAATAGATGCGGCGCTCCGCTGACGCTGCACGCGCACGCTCTGACCAATCGAATGGCTTCCATGCTGGTGTCGGGGAACCTGGCGTTGCAAGCGAACTCCGAAAGACACTTGACGGCGTCCTGGAAGGAATCTATCATGGTGGGAAACTGTTTTTCGTATAGTTCCATGATTATTTTTCCCGTAGTTTGGAATGCGAGATCGACAATGCATTCTTCTTGATCGCCGGCCGCTAGGTGGAATACAGAGAAGATGTTTTTCCAACCTGATTGTTAAAAACGAATTTGTAATAAATTAATAAGTCTAAATATTTAAATTGTAATATAATATAATACCAGACAACAACGAAACAATATTGTTTACGGAATTATTACAGCGCATTATATGACACAAATTCGCAGGCTGCAGGGATGGTTTCCTAAACATTTTGTTAGAGCCAAATGAACTTTTTTACAGGATTAAATTCTGATTGATGTATTATAGCGTCAAATAATCAATATAAATTAGTTTATTAGTAAAAGATATATAAATTAGTGTTATAATAAATTAAATAACAAACTGTTTAAATAAATAAACATCACAATACTAACGATCTTACCTGATCTTATATTTTTCGCTTGGGAATTGACCATCTGGGCCACGCAACGAACCACCATGTCCCTAACGGTGGGCGATACGTTATTTTTCATGATATATTCGAATGGACGGAGAAAATCTTTTTGAAACCGAAAATTCGAGAATTCGCCCTTCTCTATAAACTTCATTGAAAGCTGCCTCAGGCTATCCACAGCAAAGAAACATATTTCTTCATTGGAACTGCAACCCACTAAGTTGAAGTGTTCTCCCAACACCTAATTTACAAAAAGTTCATAATACAAACTATGGTGAATTTCCAACAAAAGTATAAAATAACAAGTGTAGGTACTTTAAAAACAAGAAAATAATTGATTAAAAGGTATATAAGGTTTTACATTCATACATAAGTATAAATATTACGTCTTGGAATGGTTTTAATCCAAGCTTTTAAATTTATATATTTTTCCTCACCTGCCAAATTCGGGACCACTGCAACCTGATCCTGCCCATGTTGTAATAGGAAATTTCTACGATCTTTTGGAGAGAAAACATCCTCGGATGGCCGGAATGGGCCAATTCTTCTAAAGATACTTTACATAAAGCTTTGACGAAATCGACGATGGCATCACCGTCCAGTCTTGTAGATCCCGTAAATATTCTATCCACAGCCACAACTACGCTTTGCGAGCTCGTTTGTCCGATGTGCTCCTTCGAACTAGGATCAGGAGGTTTATGTCCAGGACCTAAAAATGTTCTCTTCAAATTTGTTGCCAATTTACTAGACAAAATTGTACGCGCACCAAAACAACTTTATAAAAAAAAAGATGTGAAAATTTCGTACGAAACAATGTTTAATTAAACTAATTATTGACGAGTTAATTTCAGTATTTTATCTCCCAGATAACTTTCCACTTTTAGATAAAAATAACCTGCAAATAAATTAAGTCTTATCGGATAGAAAGTTATCTTATTTAAGAAGTTTCTGATAAAGTACCTAACTGATGAATAAATAGATGACATTATTTGTAATTTTAATAATAATAATATTATTAATACAATAGAAAAAAAAATATATAAAATTACCAGACAAAAATTCAGGTCGCACTCCTGTTCCTATTAACTGCGCCAATTCTAATTGTGATATGCATTTTAGAATGTCCAACCAACTCGTCCCTAAGTAATTTCCATCAGTATGCGCAACCATTATCAACGTTTTGATTGTATCGATGTTTTTGGCTTTCATATCCATAATGGGAGAATTTGCGGTTAAAAGAGTGAATCTAGCCAAAGCTTGAACGTAGGCGTCTCTTTCTAATGGCATATGGAATATACAGACTATCCTTATGGCACATCTGAAGGTAAAACGTTTATTACGATTGTAACAAATCACGTACTAATTTGTAAATACTAAAAATATATGTCTATTTTTACCTGATCCCGTCTAAACATAAAGCAGCAACTTCCGGATCGTCGCAATCCTGCAAACCGACGCTAAACGCCGCCAAAAACGACGTCCACGCCATTTTAAACATCGGCCTCACATGCTCTAAATGCTTAGCCAGCGTAAACGGTGCCTGGACGTGCGAAACGGACTCCATCAAGTTCTTGGCCGCAGAAGATATCGCTTCCATTTCCATATTGAACAAGATCTTCCGCCTTTTCTCGCTGTTGAACTGCTGTTTGCCGGGCTTGTTGACGGGGTTCTTCATTTTGATTTCGTGCCCGGCTATTTCGTCGTAAATTTGAGATAGGTACTCCTCCGGGACGTCTTTGCTTTCGGTGTTGCCTCGATTCAGTTTGATGTACTGCTCTTTGGTCATTTTGTTTTTGACTTGGGGCGAGTGAAGGTCCGTGGTGAGCATGATGATGGAAAAACCTAGAACGTAAGCTGTGTCGGCGGTGGCGAAGAGGCCGTTGTTCGGGTTGCATTCGCAGTATCTGCTCGCGAATTTTTCCATCAGCCTGTCGATTTTTTGGGCTTCTCCTGGTAACCTGAAATGCCTCGATTATATAGGGAATTTGCGTTAACAATTGGAAAGAATGAGTACTGTAGAAGTGGCAGGTATAGGTTAGAAGATGAAACGAGGCCTGGGCGACCTACAGTAGCTATTAGTATTAGAAAAAATCGGAATACCACTCATGGAAGTAAGAATTAAACATTGGATCATTTGAAGTATACAAACGTCTGTGAAAACAATTCAAATGAAAGAAGGTCCCTGCAATGTTATTTTTTTAATCTATAGACTTACCAGTGGTCTGAAAATTTTAAAAAACTTTTACTAGAAAGATTGAAGACCATCATAAGACAGTAAAAATTTAATACCAGACCACCAATTTGGATTTAGAAGCAATCACTTATAAAATATTCAATAAATAAAAAGAAAGGTTGAATAAAACTTCCTTTATTGAACATAAAAAAAATTAAATAGGGTGGATAAAGTTCGCTAGAACAAGATCACAAGGTAGAAAAAAAATGATAAAAAAAATAACAAAAAAACAAAAATATTGATATATAAAAAGTCAGTTATTTAGAAACCAACAAAAACTTCGTTGTAAGATTTTAACTGGGCTAAATGCTTTCTTTATAAACCAAAAGTGTACTCACAGCAAATCCCATGGGTTAAACTAATCTTGTTGAAAGGAGCCAAACCCACCGGACATCCAAATAAAGCAATTTAAAACAACAAATCTTTGTTCTAACAACTACGATGGATCAGATGTCCGCTGATACGTACATGCACAACCCTTTTCTATCACCAAACATTGTAGATTGATTCTCGCACACGTGTCACTCTTTCATTAATATTAAAACAAATTCCCAGAACATATTTTAGCAGCCAGAGGTGTACTTATTAAATCTTACACACTACGCATAATAACGAATTAAATAGAGAAACCAGGGGAAGAAAAGAAGATCTGCATTTTATTATTTATAGACGTAGCTTACTCTTTTGTTAAAGTATAGTTAGAAGACCTTGAATATAAAATAAACTTTTACCTAAGCAATATTGTAAAATCCTACGACTTATAGACATAAATAATATCTCGCTTTTATAGAAATTAAAGCAGAAGTACCTCAAGGAAGTGTGCTGAGGCCAGTTACTTATCAGTTTACCTCAGACATACCACAAACGCAAAATGTAACAAGAGACATCCATTAAACCATAAAAAAATCGACAGCAGTGGACACAAACATGGCGCATTCTCAACGAAATTAAAACAGTTCAGCACAGTGTGAGTGTATCGAAATTAGAACATTATAACAGAAAGGAGAAGATACCATTGAGCGAACTGTTCGTTTTAAGCTTCTTAAGTTTAATTAGGTATAAACAACGTATCTTTAATTGAAAGCCAAATTTACCTGAAACCGTCCAAAAAATGTCGAAGAGCAGCCACGAAATCCAAATTTTGAAAAATCATCTGATCGACATAGCTGTACATGACCTGCTTGCTCAAATCGTCGTTGTCGCCTAGAAATTCGCCGATGAAAGTCTTATCCAAGCGTTCGTCGTTGTGTAGAAATTTGGCAACGTCTTCGTGGCTGGGTCCTAACAGTCCCTGCTCCTGTAGGTACGTTATGCCTTTTCGCGGTTTCTTGTTGAACATCTCTATGCCAGTTTCCCATACCTGAAGAGGATGAGAACGTTGTGGCATGGTGATAAGTAAAAGGGTTAGAAGTAAATCGGGAAGAAGAGGAAAAGTTGTAAAGAGTGCTGTGGATGAAGTTGGTGAAGGATTTGTGTAAAAAAAGTAGAAATTTCTGTTTGCCAGTACAAAGAATTCAATTCAACTTTTGTGTAGCATAATTTAAAAGTTGCACATCAAGCCTCAAGATAAACTGACTCATTTTACTTAGAACCATTATAATTCTAAAAAAACTCACCGTTGCATAATATGTGTAATAATTATATATATTTTAAATTAGTATTCAGGATATCAAAAGACATTATTTAAGATAACTATCAATATACTGCATTTCCTACAACATTTCTCTTTTTTTGTGTATTTCATCTAAATATGTTTGTAATATTTTTATATTCTGTAATTCGGTATTATTTGTAGAATAGTATATTTAATAAATAAATGTATTCAGTGACATGATTAGATGAATCTTTATTAATAGGAATAATATCATAATATAAAAATAATATAAGAGTAAAAAAATAATTAAATGTTTACAATTTAAAACTATATTTTTTAATTTAAATTTAAAAAGTACAAGAGACTGAAGAAACAAGTGGATGAAGGGCCTATGTAGCAAAATAATTTTTACGAGATATTTCGTGTTAAAGTTTATTGTTTGGCAGTTATTCCCTAGTACATGGGTTCTTTTTATCCACTGGCAACTTCTATATTTGATGATATATTGTCACGAAAGTCATTTTAAACGAATTTTAGGTACATAAGCCCTTCATTTACAGAAAAACACCATTTAAAAAAAATGTTACATAGGCCCTTCATACTTCTTCTTTTATTTCATGCTCAGCAGTTAAAATTAAAAGTAATTTGTATGTAACGTGATGTCTAAAATTACATAACGACTGTAAACTTAAGAGCATCAACATTGCCTCTATCAAATAGACATTTATATGGTCATAGTGAGTGTAAAACGGTTTTCTGATTAAACAAAATCAATATCTTCTGAAAGTGTGTTGCAGGTTTAGTAAAAACCCCGAATAATGCGAAAGAATTATACATACAAAAAAGACTGAAGAGGTTATTTCTTTCAAGTTGGAAAGACAAAAGTGAAGAAAGCTACTACCATAAATTACTTTACAGCACAAAGTAGAGAAATGTATTATAAAGTCGTGTCGTGTTTGCAAGTATTTTTTTTTGATTGATTTATTTTAATAGTATTATTTGTTAAAGTTTTTTATTTTCAAAAAAATCTAGTCTGCTGTGCAGTTCTTTCCATCGAATACTGACACAATTTATTTCATCTTTAAACTGAACAAAAGTACTTTCTACTTTTTGAAATGATGTAGAAAATTCAAATGATTCTAAATTGTAATCTAAAACTATAAAACTAAAATAGTCCTTACCGTGCCCATATAATTAGATAAGCATGCTGAATGGGGTTTCGTTAGTTTCACATGCTGAAAATTGAAAATAGCTAAGCTGGAACAGGGCTGTTAACTAAAAAATAATACTCTTTGCTTGCTGGGAAATGTAACAAATCAGGATGGCATCAATAGTTTTCTTTCGATTGTAAGATAAAATTATTTTTTATATTCATTCAAAAAATTAAAATAAAAAAAAATGTGCTAACAAAAAATTAAATAAAATAAAAATATTGCAGAAAGAATGTTTAATAGTAAAAATATTTATTAGCTAGAAAGCAACTAAAGCTTAGCGCTGCGTTAATATGTTACAGAATTAGAGGGAAAATACTACTAGGTTCTACTATACAGAATGTACAAAAAAAGGTAATAAGAGTATAAATATCATTGTTTACCTTGTTTTTATGTAATTATTTCAAATTCAATTTTATTTGTTTAAAAGTTATAATATATTACTTTATAATGAAAATATAATAATTTAAAGACAACGGCACCGAACCTATGCAATTCTGCCCGTTTTGTTTCTACTCAGTTATATTTTAATTATGTACATTTTTTTTTAAAACAAATTGCTGAATATACTTAAAACTAAGACAGACAACGATTTCGCGAGTCTAGGAAAATACACCAAGAGAAATAATAAAATAAGAGACAAAAAAATTGGAGAGTAAATAAATAGGCAAAAAATAGACAGTACCTCAGGAATAGTGTATAAAACGTGCTTACTTTCTGCTTTAGCAGTTATTTTGCTACGTTACCATTAGATCAGAACAAATAATTCTTAATAGTTCGTTTTCATCATTAAAAACAAGGTAAACAAATCTTTAAAACATCAAAAAACATTCATCCTTACCTCTTTTTGTTGCTTAAGCACCTCCAACTGTTCAGGCGAATCCAATATCTCCTTATTCCCACCGCTTTCGCTCGAATGCAAACTATTCGAACTCCCACCGTGCGATTTAATCGAAACGTAATCGTTTTCGCGGTGCTCCTGCTCCCCCACGGTCGACTGGAGATTCGGATTGACGTACAAATCTTTGCTCCACTCCACCATGCATTTCAAAATGCACACCAAGCATTCGAGCCCGCGCAGCTTCATGGCGCGCTCTTGATTAGGGGAAGCACCGATTTCGACGGAATGCCTGCCTTGGGCTACTTTGAATAAATCATTGACTAGACGTTCGAATAGATTGGCGGCGGATAAATCGCAATCGTAGTTCACGTAGATGTCCACTACGCTTTGGGCGTCGCCGCAGATACGCGTCAGGGCTTGGATCACCATCCACTAAAAAGTATGGAATTAGGTGTCATTGTCAAAATTTTGATATTTAGTGTTAGCAAAGCTGGGCGATTTAATTAGAAAATAATATCAAGTTTGTTAAGAGATGTCATGGGAATATTAGTTTGTTGATTGTGAAAATTGTCAGTCAGAAATTTAGGAAGAAACGTCAGGTTAACTGTAAAGTTAGATAATATATTGAATGCAAAGTTAAATGTTTATCGTTAGAAGAGTTATTTATGATATTGCAATTATGAAATAGAATACAAACGCTTGAACTCGCCCATGTGAGAAATTATTTGTTGGCGCCCAACGTGGGGCTAATAACGAAAAAGAGGGCAGACAATCTAAAAAGCAGGGAAAGTTTGGACAAATTAATGTTTGTAAAACTTTTTAACCATATTTAAATTTTTGATTTTATTTTAGGAGGTGTGAAAGAATATTGTGTATCTTGTATGAGTGCGAATGCTGAAATTTTAAATGTTATTTAAATAGAAACAATCTAAATTTGGGGGCAGAAAGTTAAGGAAATCTAGGTGAAACTTAAATTGGGAGAAATGATTTCACAAAAAAATATTCCTAATAAAAAGTTCTGCATTACTTGAAATACACAATCAAGTATGAAATTTGTAACATTAAAAAAATCCAATACACATTTTAGCATTATTTTAAAATAAAATTGTCACTAAGTGATTATCGGTATAAAACTTGGCTAAATGTCGGTAATGTAGAGATCCCTTTTGCGGTGACACGGCATGAAGTTAGCCGCAAATATCGCTACGAAACAACATACCTTATGCTCGAACGAGGAATTCGTAGTCTCCAAAATATTGAGGAAGATCTCCTTGAAGAACACCTCGATCTGCATCTTCAGGTGCATCTTGAAATTCGACAGCAGCGCCAAAAAAATGGCCAGCGACAGTTCGAACACCTTCGGAATGGAACTGACGCCGTTCTTCGACAAGGCGACGCACAAATACTGCTTGATGGCCGTGATGAACATGTCGTTGGAACGAAATACGGGACCGGCGTTTTGGAGGATGGATAGGAGGAGTTGGAGGGAGAGGATCTTGGAGCGGAGTTCGTGCGATTTGGGATCGGGCGTGCCTTCGGGAAGGGGTTTCATGGAGAGCTTGCAGAGGGCGCGGAAGACGAGGAAGGCGTCTTTTTGGAGGATGTGGGTGAATTTGGCTGTGACCGCTGAGTCGTTTTCGCTTTGGGTGTCCATGCTTTCTTGCGAGGGGATTCTGAAAATGTATATTATTCTAGTCTAATTCACAGAGCATCTTTAAATTTAATCTTGGTATATTAACATTCTTTACATATATTTCTATCGATTTCATAAATGTTTTTTAGAAAAATATTGAGGAATATGTTAATTTGTTTGAACAATCTCATGGCATGGATGAACTGCGTTTAAGAGTTACATTTGACTATGAACGTTGACGATTTACTAGTGTTTATGCTTATTTTTGTTTTTGAAATGTTGGATTAAGTTTTTGAAAAAAAAAAAACAACAAGTAAGTCACTATTTTTTATTTACTATATTAAATTAATTATGAAATAAAAGACCTAAACTAACTTTAAACTAAGATTAGGAAAATACCATTAAAATAAATATAAATAAAACATAAATATATTTAATTTTACACTATTTTATTATTACACAATGATTTGAGGAAACAACCTATTTTATTTTAATTTTACTAATCACAGTATCGATTCAAAGCATGATTGAAAAATCACACCATCATCCAATTTTACTTTTTCTCTGAATTGACATTTCTATTTTCAATTAAACTAATTTAAAATGAATTTCCTTTTTTAACGATATTAAAAATCTGATGTGTCCAACACATGACTTTCCTATCTAGTTATTATAGGCTCTTTCCGGTTATTTTGTACAACCTATTGCAGCACCTCTATAAATGTTTAGAGGATAAACTAAATATATACATTTTCCACATACATCTACCTCGAAACATTTTTCTATAGATATTCATTGAAAAAGAAAATACTGAAAAATTTAAATTTAGCACTTTTCCTACAGTTTTTTTAGAGAAAATGCAAAAAGAGGTCGATTTTTATTTCAAAAGGGACATCTTTCGATCATATCCTCAACTATCCTACATCCCTCCCCACCCCTCTGTCACTATTACCAATGAAATTGAAATAGGGAAAGTACTAAGTGTGACACATCATTGAAAAGGTAATTTTATAAGGAATTTGACAAGTGACAGTTCAAATAAAAAATATTTATAGATGAGACTACCAAAAAATATGAATGGCTAGTACTTTTTAGAATGTCTAGAAGGGTTATGTAAAATTTCATGAAAATCCGTACCGCTTCAATTACCGTCATATTTACCTATTATTTTGAGAAAAATGTCAATTAGGCATTAAAAAAAATTACGAAGAAAAAAGAAAAACAAAAATATACTTAGAACTTTAAAACAATGATAATTATCATATTATTATATTATAATATTTGGAATGTATGTCATGCCAGTCAAGCTACAATTATCCACAACAAAAGCGTTACAATTTTTTGAAAAAATTCAATAAAAGTTCTCACTAGTTGACATCTGTTTTTCACTTTTTTTTTTAATCTACTTCAGACCATTTTGAGATCTGAATAATAAAAAAAATGTTTGTTAGCTTAAGTATTAACCAATTAATTATTAAACAATTTTATTTCTTATAGTCATTTATATATCACCGATAGGAAAAATGAATCATTTTAAAACGTGCATTTCTAGAAATAATATCAAGAACAACACGATAATTTCTATCATCACAATTGTGCGATAAAGACTAAACAAACCTTGTCAAAGATGAGGCGATACTGTGTGTTTCATTTTCCGGCGAATTCAGCACTTCAACTTGTTTATTTTCCACCACTTCCGTCATCACGCCATCGATAATATTCTCCATGATTTCAGCTGCTACGCTTTCACCAGTTTCCTGCAACATATTTTGCTTAATTTAAAGAAAATCGTAGGAATCATCATGTATATTAAACAACTTAACGTAAAAGACCCATAATACTTCTTAAGGAAATGCAGTACTTATTATTTTGTATTAGACATAGCCGTGCTTTCAGAGCAAACATGTGGCAACTATGATATCCCCGTCTGTTTAGTCACAAATACCTATCTTCACATATTTCGACCAGATTTGGCAAAGCCAGCAACTAATGGCAGATTGATGTGCGTGATCAAAAGAACTCTCAATTCTCTCATCCACACTGAAGAGATTCACAACAATTTTTCACGTTCAGTTTATCAACTAAGAATATTAACAAAAACAAAAACTTTCAAAATGTTAATGTAGTGTTTAATAATAAAAATACACCGTCAACAATCTATTTCACCGTCTGTGCCAAGAAGCGTGGCTTGCTATCGCTATGCTCTCTGGCTTCTAATTCTAGTCGACGATTGGCTGTTGCCATTTTATTAACTTCTATACTAGTCATATGCCTAACACCAAAAAATAAGTACTGTATATGACTTTTTGATGAAAGAAAAAATGTAAACACACTGAACATTACCCCTTTCTTAACTATTTCCAAAATCCTATTTGAACGAACATTACCCATTCTCAAAAATTACTATATTATCCCTAAATACCCTTTTTCAACAACATTTTTCGCTTTCGGTCCAACAAATTACCCCCTTTTAACAAGCATTACCCCCTTTATTGTCCAAAAGTAACCTCTTTTCCGTCCAAACTTTAAATTTACCTCGTTATCGTCTACTTTCAAAGACTTCACGCTCTTGCCATCGCCGTCATTTGAAGCTTTAGAATCATTCAACGTCGCCGAATTATTCGAATTCTGACTGTTCTGCAGGCTTTCGTGCACCTCGGCCTCCAGAGCCTGGTTCTCCATTCTGGTAAAGATTACGTTCAGCATCTGCGTCAAGGTGGCTCTGGCTGTCGTTTGGTTAACGAGATTTTTGCTGGCGAGGAAAATGTTGTAGCAGGTTCGTACCGCCATGAGAACGGTGCCTTCGTGGACTTCGACATATTGGCTGGTGACGACTGTTAGAAGGGCTTTGATGATTTGTAGCTGGACACCTAGAGAGAACGGATAGAAATAAAGAGATAATAGAGTTGCAGGTTATTTTTTAGATTATTATTTATTTCGCCTAAACGTTTTTGTTTATATTTAATGAGACATAATTTTTCTGAGAGGGAGAATATATAGTTATTGTCAAAGATACACAGGAAATATATAAATATTTAAAAAGTTACTTATAACTAATAAAAAACTCATAAAATTAGTTACTATGTGTTGATAAAATTTAACGATATCATCATTATGATGTACATGTTTCCTGAAATTACTGAAGGTGTTCAAGATTCTAAGAGATTGGGTATTGTATTCAAAATGTTAATACCGTTGTTAATGACCGATTTTTTGATCAAGGTAGATTTAAGTATAATCAAAGCCAAATCTCCGTTGTTTTTACATATTAGACTGGGTGTTTCTAATAATAAAAGTGAAGTTAGCTTTAAAATTTGATGCACTTTAAAGAGTGGCCTGTAAGAGGCAGAATGTTTTGTAACAAATGTACTATGGACCAGTTCTTTGCTGCATATTCCCCAAAACTGTATTACATACCTTATATCACATTCAATAAAATCTATAGTAAATATTCTTTGCTGCTGCAAATCTCAATTTCCTCCCAGTATATCTAATCACAAAACAACCAGATGCTAACTTTTTATTGAAACTATCCACGTTGCATTTAAACTTTAAATGTGGGGTCTATTCTTAAACCTATAAATGTTACGTTGAATTTTCAAAAGCTAACTCGTTTTACTGGTGTTAAAAAGTTGGCTTCACACCTCTTTTAAAAGATCACAAGATACCATATCAGGAAGTTTGTTTGAATTTTTATCAAATATCATCAAGTGTGTTGGAATATAAAGAAATGCTAAATCAAATTAACATTAACGGTACTAGAACTGATCCTCGAAGAACAACTCACTTAACAATCAGTAATCATAATGCTGTAGGCATTCTGACAAACTGGCTTTTACGACTTTACAAGGGGTAAAGGCTGTATGTCACAAATACTAAATTAAGTACTAAAATTTAGCCCTAAATTAAGTTATTAATTTAGTACTAAATTTAGAACTAAAAATATTTTTTTTCATTTTGCAACGATACCAATTTTAGTACTGAATTAAGTATTGACGCGAACCAAGTAGTTAAAAGAAACATTTGTGACAACTGATAGGTCTTTAACTACTGTTGTCAATATACTATTAAGGGATTAAGGCAGCACTGTCACCAGCCAAAGGCTCTTGGCGTCCCAAAGGAACATCCATTCACCAGTGGCAAAAAAATTAAATGAAATGCGGCTTTGACAATTAGTTATAGATTCTTCTAGTCCTTAGGGGTAGAAACGCCGAGGCTTCACAAATTCTCGGAATATTTCGTATCTGGTTTTGGAAAAAGGAGGAGAGAATAAAAATAAAAAAACAGTAACATATGTATATTTATTAAAATTTATATTTAAGAAGTCATGACTTACTGTAGAAACATTTTTGTATCATTCTTTATAAATACCTAGGTTAGGAAAGTTTTCAAACTTAACAAACAATCTTGCTATGTGTTTACTTTGCTGAAGTGTTTTTAAAAATTCTGCATACTAGTGTAGAGGCAGCATCTCTCAGAAATGCAAATCCAATGTGGGAATTTTAAATCTTCCTACCCTTCTATCCGATTTTCTTTTAAACAAATGCAAATTAGTAAAAAATTCTTATAAATCTGTTTAATTATTTTTTAACAAGTTTGATAAAAGTAAGTAAGAATAAATGATTTAAGTATGTTTAAAATATTTTTTTCTTTTGGGCCAAAACTGTAAATTCAAAAAATTTCAAAAAATGGTTTTAGCAAAATAAATAGTTGAAATTGTAGCAGTTTTGTTTGTTGAAAAAATATGTTTTTCTTGTGTTTATTGAAAACTAGTTGAGCCATTTTGTTTAAAATTTGGGAAACTTCTATACTACTAGTCAAGATATAAATAATCATGAATTTTTGAATATATAGTCCAATTAACCTATTGGGCTCGTAAAAAATTCTAGTTCAAACATTTGTAAAGATATTTCACTTCAAACTATTAAATCATTATCATAATGAGCTATAGCAACCATATTTTTTTAAATAGTTCATATCACAAAGTACTTTAGCAAAATTTTACATGTACCAATAAATTAAGAGAATTTAAATTAAAATTACAGACCTGTAACAATTGTTTTTACCTAATTATGATTAAAAATTCCAATCCAGTGTTATAGCTAATTAAATTTCAAATCCGTTTAATAATTAAAGAATAAACATTCTAGCTTTTTAACAAAATCAAGATATTTTGACAAATCTGAACAAACTTTAAAGTATTTTAAAGTAAATATCTCACACGAAACGAATATTAAATTTAATGCAAATTTGTTTTTATATGTTTATGCATATTTCAAATATACATTTAATTGCAACAACGTTTATAATTAAAATATTGTGTGTGTGTAAATATTTTTAAAATCAACCTTATTTTTATAACAATAAATAATATTGTTTAAAAAACGTCTGCTTTTCTTTTTCATTTGATAATAGGAATATTTGAACTATTTAAGTTACTCAATGTACTCAGATTAGTCATATTTTTAAATAGTCAATAAGAAACTATACCATCAAATTTTTAAATAAATAATTAGCTGCCGATAATAAAAATTCCTAACCTATAATTATTTTTTTTACTTAGATAGGTGGTTAGTTTTTGAAATTAAAAGCAAATCAACATATATACCTATAATGTTATTTAAATGCCCCATAAAATATAATTAAAAAAAGTTTAAACTGTAACTAACCACTGAAATTAACTACCCATTACAAGATTGAAAACAGGTGTTTTAAAAATATTTTCAATTATTTATTATAAATTGAAGACCTTAACTTCAAAATGGTCTAGGTGTCAACATTTAAAAAAATATACATTTTTGCATAAAAAGATTCAATAAACCAACCTTAACATTATACAAATGGTTTTAAGTGCATTTTAAAAGAAATCTATTTTTTGTAGTAGGGTAAACATGGCGAATGTATATGTGTGTACATGATGTATACAATTTTTATATTAGTCATAACTTTTTCCATGCTTTTGGCACTTAGACCCAAGTCTTCAATTGTTTTAATACTTGTAATGGAATCAACTAATTTACTCACCTTCATCAGTCTGGGGCCCAGTGAAACAACTGCAAATAGTCTCAACTATTCTATCAATAAGCAGCTTTCCTGGTGTCGTCGAATCAGGTACGTTAGCAGTTAGATGACCATAGGCTATCAATTTTTGAAGACAATCCAACGCCGTCACCACTATTCTGGCCGATTTGCTCTGACAAGCTAGTTCGAACGGTAAAAAATACTTTTCAGTCGTCAGGATATTTGCGTCGCCACTTTTCGGTTGCGGCAGAGCATCCGATATACTTTCCTCATTTGAGTGTTCATTCGTTTCCTTTTTTATTTGTTCTAAAATTATATATTTGCTTAAAACTTATTTGCTTTTCTGGCCCCTTAACATCTCTAATAATTTATCCTACAACCAGAGCTGGATAAACCACTTTTGCAAACTGCTATAATTACTAAATATTAGGGTGTATCATTTTTAAGCAACTTTTTTTTTTTCAACTAAAAAACAGGCTAAAAATTTTCAGGAAGGTGAAAAGAGAAGCCTCTAAAAATTTGAGCTCTTAATATTATCATTTAGTGGTGCCTGTTCCTAACTTCCCATTTTCCATCTAAATAACATGGAAACATTTTTTTTCTTCTTATTTTTGTAGCTTGACATTTGGCATTGTGAAAATAAAGTATATATTTTGGTAGGAAATTGAATGCTCTACAAAAAGTTCTAATTTATTTTTTTCATAGAGTGAGTCCTTCTGAAGATATTCAAACTTAAAGTTGCAAATGTATGAAATTAGGACTTTTAGTTTATTAAACTAATGACTATTTTATGTCTTAAAAATTATTTTCAAGAAAACATCATTATTTTAATATTTATTACAAGTGTTAAAGGAGCACCGACGAAAATATCCAAATTGTAATAAAAAAACTTCAACAAATATAGTTACATAATTTAATTTTGATAAGACCTTAAAATTTCTATTAGTTTCAAAATTTTAGTATGCTAATTGTTAAAAAGTTTTTTTTTTATTTATTAAATAATAATTTTACTGGACCTAATTCACAATTACTTTTGTTTAACAGTTAATCAAATAATCAAATAATATCTAAGATGTATTTTTTTTTATTTTAGCTTTCTAAAAATATTAGCGCACAAAAACCAGTTTTCTGATTAAAAATAATTTTTAAGACATAAAAAAAGTCATCAGTATTAGTTTAATAAGATAAAAGTCACAATTTTATACATTTGCAAGTTTAAGTTATAATATATTCAGAATGGTTCATTCTATGAAAAAATAAATTAAAACTTTTTTGTAGAGCGTTCAATTTCCTACCAAAATAATTTTTCAGTTTATTTTTACAATGTTCAAATGTCAAGCTACAAAAATAAGAAAAAATATGTAATTTAGATGGAAAATGGAAAGTTAGGAACAGGCACCACTAAATGATAATATTAAGAGCTCAAATTTTTAGACGCTTAGTTTTTCACCTTCCTGAAAGTTTTTAGCCTGTTTTTTAGTTGAAAATAAAAAGTTGCTCAAAAATGAAACACCCTACTAAATATGTTAAAAAGTTGTTCAATTACCAATCACAATATTTGTAAAATCAAGGACCAAATAATATTTGGACCATTTACATGTTTGATTCAAATATCAAATGTAGATACAAGTTCCATTCTGGAGTTTGTTAAATTTATATCTTTAAGGTCAGTGTGAATTAGACTATTAAAATAATTCCAAAGAGTACAATTCACAAGTTCTTAATCAAATTTATACTTAAACCAGGACTAGCAATGAGAAGACTCGCCTATAAGTAAAGCTAATGCTTCACAAACTTGAAAAATCATTTAAAAACAGATCAGTCCAGTTAAAATGAGAACCACCAATTTAGCATCCCTTGAATTTTTATTTAAAATCCTTACGGCTCTTAGAAAATGTTTTTATTTAATAATATCTATTTAATTTAGTGATATTTGGCATTTAAATTAAAAGATTAATTAAAACATATAAAATATTAATTTGTTATCTATATTAACACGTAGGCATGTTAGGGAATTTAGATAAACATAAAAAATGTTCATTAATTAGATATTTACAACACTTTCAAATTAATAATCATATAACAACAGTTCTTTAAAATTGTGCAACTTCCCACCTTACTAATTTAATTTATAGGACTTTCCATATAAGTATTGCATAACTGATCAAAAACCTTTCTTATAGAACTTAATGAAATGAAACCAAAATATTTAATAGTTATAAAAGAAAATGTTTACCGCAAATGAAAAATGTTAGCATACATTAAATATACATGACCTTAAAACTTGTAACTTTACTCAATATATTATACAAATAATAGTTAAAACTAATAACTATTACCTCTTTTATTCTACCATTCAATGTAGTTTTATAAAATATGTTTAATTAAGAAAAAAATAAACATAGGAAATTATTGGTCAATAATATAAAATTTAATGCTTTATGTACAACAATACCTATATTATATTATTGAAAATAAAAACTGTTAGCATTAACACATAAATAAACAATGAATACTTACCTAGAGCAGCTTCGCAAGCCCTCTTAAGTTGAGAGTGATGAGACCTCTTGATTTCTTTATCATTTAAAATTTTCTCGAGCGCTCTCAATATAAACATTTCCTTGGTTTTAAGATTAGATTGCATTTTTAACAGAAAATTGTGACCTCAATAGTAAAAACCCCACAATTTAACCAAGGGGTTCATTGTGATTGTGACGTGTAGGTAAATGAAAAAAATATGTTTTTAGATATAGATATGCACTATTATTAAAAAAATATTTACACAGGCTTTAACATTTAAATGGAGCATAAATGATTTGAGATATCACACGTAAGCACACAATGGTTACAATTTTTATAATATGATTATTACTATTTTAATTTTTGATAAAAAGTTCTGTCAACATTCACATCTCACATTTTACGTTGACTTGACACTTGACACTGACATTCGTGACAGGAGTGCGTTTAGAAACCTCGCACGGCGCGTCTGACCACATGCATTAGAGTAGGGTCCAGACGCGCCGTGTGAGGTTTCTAAACGCACTCCAGCTGTTGGCAAACATTTGACGTTTAAATGACACGTGACGATTGTTAAGCCACATTTAGATAATATGGAGAAAAAGCGCAAAATAGTCTACAAAACGGTGTCTTTTCCAATAAATTTAAAGAGCACACCTGGTAAATTTTAATAATGCTCTTAATACATTCTAAATGTTAAGGTAATCTTGGGTATATCGTGAGCTAATCTATACAGATACTTATTTCTATGACCAATTAAAACGTCAGATTATGATGATAAAGTTAAAATGGAAACCGGCTTTAGTAAAAATTGACTTTAGTGCCATCTATAAGTATTACTCAGAATTGCTTCTTACTTTTTCTACTAAACACTAGGTCGCAATAATAACGATATTTTATATTTTGCTTCTATATTTTCTGTAAAAATTGCAGAAAAATATGAATTTCTTTCAATCAATTTATACTGATATTAATATGTCTTGGCCCACCATCTATAAAATTATAATATCAACCAAATTGATGTTTATACTTCTTATTGTAGATGTCTTTCATGTGTTTTCACAATTGTCACTTTTCAACAGTTGTAGTTCATCTATTGATTACTAGATGTCGCAACTAATTTGTGTTTTTCAAAAATTTTAAATTTTGATTCTTTACTTGACAAAAAAGATCATATTTAAAATACACATTCTTAATCATAATGGCATTCCGAAGAATTAACCGAATCTTTGCCTTTCTTTACATTTATTAATTGGTTTTGAAAACGAAAATGTTTATATTATGAAGGCTAGAGATAAGGAGACGGTCTCAAAAAACATACGATAATGGAGCTTTTACAATTCACCGCAAGAGCGCTGGTGTTGCTACCGCTGTTAAAAATACATGGCTGGAATTTTACATATTCTGAATTGTCTAATGTGGTATAAGATCCGAAGTAAGGTCGACCTTCTCCAATCTATTTAATAAATGGTTTTTTTTTTATTAAATAAAATATATTTATAAAGATATCACAAATGGGTTGCCTAAGAAAATACTGTCTACTATTTATTTTCTTAAAATAAAAAAACGACACCCTGTAAAGTATTCCCCAGATGCTTCGACTATGCCCAAACTTTAATCAGCTCATCGCAGAATGGATTAAAGCTTAAGTTTAAATTTTGGTGTTTTTCTCTTCATTCGTTTTTGAGTTATCTTCAAAATTTGCACATTTCCTCAAATATCTCGAATTAGGTCCATTTTATGGAAATCATGTATAAAGTCTTCCGACAAACTCGCGCTATTTATATAAAGCCTGCTTTACAATAGAAGATTCTAGAATTTCGTTAGCTATGACTCAACGGCCGCGTAACGCTTTTTCTGGTAGCTTCTCGAAGCAGTGCGTTTCTGTCCTGCGGATCGAAACATAGACGAAGCGGCTTGCGACGGTGAGCGGAACAGGGTTGGCTTAAGATGGTTACCTGACAATATTCCGTTTTACAACTTGGAAAGAAGTAAATCATGCTTTGATGTTTTTTGTACAGCACTTTCTTCTACTAAATAAGCTTCCAGTTTACATATTAAACTATTTAGAACAGGTAAAAGATAGGTATTAAAAAAATAAAAAGGCATTAAAGTTGCAAACAATTTTAATTTATTTTTGTTTTATTTTTTCTTATTCTTTTCAAACGATTCACATAAAATATTTATAACAAAATTCTTTTGGGAACTACTGACTTATTTCCAAAAAGATATCAAATTCATGTACAAAGTCTGAACATAATACTAAAAAAAATGTAAAACAAGGTGAATACTTATTCATGATTTGCAAATTATACTTGGCACATGAATTCCATATAATATATCACTCTTCATAGTTTAGGCAGTGGAATATTAATTCGACAAACTTGATTTTATTTTATTTCAAAACAATTTTAAGTTTAAGTAGATTTTTACTGGGTCGAGAATTATCAAATTTGCCGTAAAATATTTGTTTTACCTAAGGAAATAAAACATACAGATGATTTTCATGCTAAAAAAAAACTCGGAAAAATAATTCAATAACTGAAAAATAAAAATGTAAAACTATTTAAGTACTTTGAGTAAATTTATTTTAATTTTGTTTTTATTCCAAATAAATATATTACGTTCGAATTTTTTTTTATTAAAATGATCTAGAAAGTGTTGCTAGGTAGTTAAATTATCAGCTGCACTAAATTTTGTAAATTTTTTTAAGGAACAAAAACAATCATGAAAAAAATCTGTATCTTTCCAGGAACATATTAAAATATTCTCCTTTATTTTTCGCAACCAAACCCTGTTTATTCAACTTCTTTATCCATCGTCTGGAGATATAAATCCAGATTCAGGTAATAAGGCACCAAGTCACACAGTTCCTTTGGAACTATAAATACTGTTTTTTCTTACTGTGTTCACTTGTATTAGTGTTCAAAACTTCTACTGAAATATAAGAAGTACATTTAAAACGAAAAACGATTACCGAATTATGTCACTGGTACTGCAAAGGAAATGTTTTTGTAAATAAAAAAATAATAAATAAAATTAAATAAATATTCTAGTAAGCAGACCTCAACTTAGTAAATCAAAGTTTCTTGAGGAAAGTACTTATTTTTTTGATAATTCGGTAACGTTGGACTAGTTCAATAAAAAAAGAATAATAATAAAATCTATAGTCTAGAAATGAGTTGCATGAAACACTATTATATAGCTTAAATTAACTATAAATTAAATATTTTATTTATCATAGATAGTTACTTCTAAATTTGCTATAAGTTTCTTACAACTCATTTTATTTGAGATTTTTGACCTAAAAGTGTAATTTTCAATAAAAAACTATTTGTAGCAATTTTGAAGGAGCAAAATTTGTACCATTTATTCATAAAAAAATACAGATATTAATACTTTTATTTAAGCTAGATAAATATATATGAATACAACATTTTGCTACTAGAAAATATATACTTTTTATATGAATCACAATATATCTATCAGGTATATGTAATCAAAATTTGAACTTTAGTATTGCTTCAAAAATATAATTTTTTATGGAAAAATATATGAGTCATATAAACAGTAGATCTACAGATTTACTCTAGTTGTAGGCATTGGCGGTCTGTGGAAAAACATGTCTGGAAGAAATGAACACTATAAGAAAGGACACTATAAATTTGAGCTTAAATTATTAATGCTAAATAATCACAATAATATAAATAGGTGTTCTATGAAATTCTCACTATAAAAAGTACCTATGAATGTAAATGAAAAAAGAGGAAATCAGTGGGGATTTTTTAAGAAAGTTTATCATATTTAATGAACATTCTAACAGATATTAACTTCATAATTTCATTACAAAATAGATTTTTTGTTAAAACAACAAGATCAAACGTTACTGATAAGCATTTTCGCCAAAATTCAAATAAGGCGCCAATAAATGTTTCCCCACTATCTTAAATTAAATAAAGTATTAAAAAAATCACTATTCAAAAAAACTGTTTTTAAAAAATTGTTATATCTGAAATCACAGTTTAAACTGCAGTCTACAGCACAGCATTTCTAAAGTCCTTATATACAGATTATTCAACATACTATTTATAAATCAAACATTCCACAAATCTGAGACGCTTCCTGGATTTTTTATTTAAATTTGTTCTGGAAGTCATTTTCGGAAATTCGTGCAAATTTGTGGTAATGCTTTTCTAAACAGGGAGTCATTTTTAATACTACGAATATATCTGTCAAGGTATATTGTCAAAATTAAGTATGTATATTAAATTCTTATCAGGATCAGATGAATTTTTGATTGAAATAAAATGTTAATACTGAATATCATACTTTAATTTATTATGGCTTTTATCCAGATCTAAAAATTATAAATCTTTTGAGTGAGGGTTAACACGTTCACTGCCAACGTTTGTCATATAGGCCAGACTCATATGTGAATTTTGGAAGTAGTAAGGAAGTATAGGAGAATGTTTTAAGTTCAGATGAATCTCTTAATGGCAGTGACAACTTCATAAGGATTCTGTAGACAGCTTACAGTTTTGAGATAAGTAGATGTTGCTATTTTTGATTGCTCTTGTTTAGTGGATGCATTAATTGGTACTCGAAAACGTCAAAATATCAGAAAGAAAGGCATCATTTTAATTTTACCACTGATAGACTAAAGCTGTGATTTTAGTGTAATTTAGTTTCAATAGGCTATATTTACATATAGGTATTTAATTGTTTAGGTGTCTACACCACCTTCAGAATAATACTCGTAGGAAAAAATACTGAATTCGTATATTAGGAGGATATTTGTCTATTATGTTAAAAATAAGATATGAATCTATAGTCTATGATAGTGTATAAGGCAGTGAACGTGTTAAAAGTAATGTAATGTATCTACCATTGCATTGTTAGAAAAATAGTTGTCATATTATATTTAATAAAATTCATAACTTGAGTATTTGATCTAAAATTGCTTTTTATTGGTTTAATATATTTTTTAAAGAAGGTATTCGTTTTATTATAGAGTTCAAAAAATAAGTTTTTTTCTTCTTTTATTTAGCTATTATCCTTAAGTACGTTAATAGTAGTTTGTACAACAAGAGTAGATATGGACAATCCACTCGAGTTGTATAGTATATTTTTTCTACGACCCACAATAGAAAATCTGCAAATTTTATAAATTCTTTTAGTTTATCTATATATAAAAAGGCAAAGACAAAATAGTTCAGTACCATTGTCTCTTATAATGGAACCGCTAGACTTAGGAAAATAAATTTTGGGTACGATGGATTGGACTTTAAGGCAAACAAAAATCACACCTTCCATGCAAAATGGAAAGTTGCACGCCTTTGCGTTCTGCAGATTTTCGATTCACCCCTACTCCCTCCACTTATTTACCTATTTTAAAACTAATAGTAATCGGGTGACCAAAATATAAACTGTGATTGGTGGATTTCATTTTTTTTTTGTAGTGTTCTCACTACCTAGAATGAATATGAAATATATTCATTCAGTTGAACGCAATAGCATACTTTTTCGTTTTATAGTCTGTGCGTTGATAAGATAATATGTGGATGTAGAAAAAAATATTTCTTTTCATAAATTTCAAATATTCAAAGATATAGCTCTCAGCCAAACTTGTTTCATACAAGTCTTAATTTTTAAAGTGTGGTTTTTAAAGATTCTAGCTTGGACTATAATAGATATATTATAAAATCTATGATAATTAGAAAGGTATCAAGGATATTATGAATATTTTGGTATATTTATTTTTCGATAGGTTTATAAATTATTTTATTCAAAATTTCTTCTTGACTTTTTCTCATAGAAAAAAATCCCAAAATTACCCTACATTTTGACCCTTCACAAACCAATACCTCCTTAAAAGCAACCCAATTTTTGTCTAGTTTCAGTGTCATATATTTTTTCGTTGTTAATTATTAGTATTTTAATTTCCCTGTATCTTTAAAAGGCATCGGTAATATTAAATTACCTATTTAAGAATCAAAATTGTTAATTAGATAATTCATTTACTTTTTGTTTTTAATGATACAGCAATATAAAGGCGTTATATTTTCAGAATTCTATGATTTAGCGAACAAATTCTGTCAGACGCCTGCCTGCTATATACGGCTTGGTCTTGTTGATAGAGCAATCAGAAACGGTTACTGGCAGTCAAGGATTTTGCGCAGTTGACTGACTAGGCAATCCAAATTACGTGACCTAAAATGGTGGGCGATTGGCAAACACTGTAAATTAATAAAGTAGGACCCTTTAAAATAATATTCAAATTAACAGTTCTGAAACCAACAATTAGCAAATTCACTATGAGATATAACTAACTACTAATGAAAAAGTTAGGTTAAAAAACTTCTGTTTATATTGTTTGCCAACCGTCGGTCATATTGCATTTTTTTGACATTGGATTGCCTAATATTAGGCATTCCAAACAAAATGGTTGCCTGATGAAGAAGACACACAAACCCCAATTTTACATCGAGTTTAAAAAAAAAGTGTCTTCTCGTAAAACGAGCAACTCTGAAAAAAAAAACTATTAATATAATCGCACACTACATCGTATTTTTATTGAAAATCCACCCTCAAGGCAGAAAGTTATTGTTAGTTAAACTAAATTATGTAAAAACAATTTGACAGTTGATAGTAAACGAACGTTTGTGTGTCAGAAGCACAAAACACTCACACTGTCAAATTCATCAAGCAACCATTTGGACAGTACGTTAGAATGCCTAATACCTAACTGTCAGTGACTGTCTTCTATTGCTTTACGAACAAGATTTGATGTTATTTCCCCGTCAACCCCCCTTGGTAACCGACTGTCACCCCGATACAATGATGCTCCTTATCAAAAAATGACAACGCGTGAATGTTTTCCTAGCGAAAATCAAATTTTCAGCTGATCCGTTGCCGAGCCTCGATTGATAGTTCAATCGATTTCTTGGTGTGAAAGGAACAACCGGGTTCCAGCCGGTGAAGCAAAACCCTCATCCCGCATAAGACTCCCTGCGAGGGCGACCCTAGAAACACTGAAAATATTAAAGGGTCTCAACCTTGGATGATCTCCTGTATACTGACGTAGGTTCCAGTAACGAAACCTAATAAACCGAAACAAATAAGGAACATGTTTTTCCATAGGCGCCAGTTGAACCTGCCCAAACCCGGATCTTCGTAGAAGGTCACTAATTCTATAACTGATGGAAAAATGAGACCCAACATAGACAGGCATACAGCTCCTACTAGCGAGATGAAACCGCCTAAGTTCGGTATCAGAATGGCGAGTATTACTGTAAGTGTTACTAGCGAGATTCGGATGCTGTATTCTGCCAATGTTTTTCTCTCAAAGTTATTCTTTACCGCCTTCCAGATTATCTCCATTGGGACGTAGAATTGCAGCGCGTATGTGAAGAAGATGGCGACGGCTATCATTAGTTTTACGGATTGGGCCAATCTGAAACAAACAAAATATTGATTATAATCGATTAATTCAATAAAAAATTACAACTGTTTTAAAGCGATGAACCAGAAAACCTTCAGTTACAACTTTTATTAACCGTAAAATCACGTGACTAAATCCCTAATAAGGTAACCGGTTATTGTAATGCATTAACGTTAAATAGTTTTTTAAATAATTAAAGAAATTTCGACATTTACTTTCTAGGTTAATTTTTATTGGTTCTAAAATGGAAATTTGAGTGATCCAGTTCTATAATCTAAAAAAACACCAAAACTATATTCCGTATACCGACTTGGTTAACCTGGTTACTAAATACTAAAAAGTGGTTGACGTCTGACAACTGTTTACAGAAAGCGTTGTTAACAAAAAAAGAGTAACTTTTGTTTCCATGTTATATTAAAATAAATAAAATATATTTTGATATCTATAGCAACTCCACGTCTTCAGCGGAGTAATATAGCAACCCGCGCTTTCTGCGGAGTAATTCTTCCACATCACTCGAGTAAGACAGTATATTATTGAAATAAAAAATAGTGCTGCTGATGCGACTTCATCCATTTACTTTATTATTCTCAAATCTCAATAACGCCAAAATATCGTAAAATATGTTAAACAGAAATATAAACAAATCTTTTGTTATGACATCTGACAATTATTGACCAGTTTTCGTTCCGTAAATATTTTCATGAACCGAGAACCAACTCCAAACCAGCCTGAAAAGCTAAAAACCAGACTGGTTAACCAAGTTAATATACGAAACATACAGTAACTGCACTGAATGTTACTTCTTATTATCAACTCACGTCCGGACTCTGGTATTTACCGGTCACAATTAATGACGCTTCAAACGGCTTAAATATGACGTCACAGAAAGTAACCAAGATTCACCAACATAAACGGACTTTTTGTATAGGTGGTCACTTTTGTGTTAAAGGTGCGAATAAAATTTAATAACATCCTGTATAGTTGGATCCTATCAATTTCTAAGCAGAGATCGTTTATTTAAAAAAATATGAAAATTTCGCGAAAACAGTCAAAACGGATTCAGGGGATCTCAAAACGTAAAAATCCGTCAAAAACTCGAGGTCGAAAAAAATCATAATTCCCATACTTTCCTTATCTGTATACAGATAGGAAAGTAAAAAGGTTTCATTTACCAAGAAAATTAAAAATGATATTGTTTTTATGCCTCTTTGGTAGTATTTTTTATTTATTACTCAGTTTATTGTAGACTCATTATTTCTGATTATGGAGGGTAGAGGAAAGGAGAACAATCTCTGTATACAAAAAGTGTCCCTCAAAATGTATACAATTAAGATGGCGCTTCTGTGCCCAGGGGACGTCGACAGTCGATAATTCAGATCACACAATGACATCAATGATGTATATAGTAATAAATATTGCTCAACCATAAAAAACTAAAAACTACACCGTGAAAAGTGACTGATCGTAAAAGAGTAAGTGTTCTGTGATCGTAGATAAATTTTGACAATACACGACAATAGTCAAATTTTATTGAAAAATAATAATATAAACAATAAATAATTCTTATATTAAAATGGCACGGAGGTCTCAATTTACTGCTTCCTGTCTGATTTAATTATGAATGAGCAATCTATATGACTATAAAGCATTGGATTTTGTCCCCTGGCTACACGAGCGCCATCTTAATTGTATACATTTTGGTGGCCACTTTTTAATATAAAGATCCATATAAGATTGTCCTCCTTTTCTCTACCCTCCATATTTCTGATTAATATATTTGAAGGGCCAATGCAAAACCATCAAAGTCCATTTTTAGGCGATTTTCAGTTCTCAGTGCCATCTTTTGGTGTTTAAGCAATAGAATCATGTGAGAAAATAAAACATTAAAACACCATCACGTTCCTGGGAAATCACATACAAAAGATCGGGCATAGAATGCAATAAACTTCAGAGTCCATAATATATTATTTTAATTCTCCTGAAAAATTTAATTTCACAGAAATTGATGGTTTTTGATGTGGACTTTTCGCGTCTATTTTTATACTAATACTGTGTGTTTTGTGTTTTAAATATCACATTCTTCATTACGTCTGGGGCGCAATGCTATCTTGGATTATGTAGCAGCCCGATAGTCCCAGCTACTTCATAAATTTTTTAAATAAAAAAATAAAAAGGTACTTACGGCACATCGGGAAGATTCAAAGTAATACTGCCAATCTCCACTGCATCTCCATACTTCAAATATCCAAAGAATCCAACTGAAGCATAAAGCATAATTACGCAGAACATTCCAATATTTAGTACACTGGGACACCCAATGAAATGTTGGGGTGTTTTCATGTTATTTTCCAAAGGCATAACTACACCAATACCTTCCAAAGCAAATATGGCGGTACCGAAGAAGGCAGGAAGAGTCGTAACGCTGGAGAAATGCGGCCTTGAGTCTAAGGAAGGAAGATCGCTGAAGATATAGTAGAAAGTTATACCCAAACCTACGCCAACTAAAACGTTAGCCATCATGGACATTGGAGAGAGATACTTGAGATTTCTGAGGAGATTAATAAGAATTAGAATGGGCAACATGGTAGCCATGTATATCCTTAAATCGTAGTGGTAATCCTCCGGTGTGTATACGTCTACCACTTGTTTCACATTTTTAGCAACGAATACTACATAAACGCAGCAACAACCTAGAAGATCTGCTACCAGGAAGAAATTGATCATAGCTTTAGCGAACCTGGCCCAAGGATGGAATGCTTTGGGGCCGGTGAGGAAAGCGGCTTCCGCTACTTCTGCGAAACCGAGAGACGGCACCCTTTGCCGCCTGTAGAGCTCGTGGGCGCTCTTAACGAGAATGTGGACGCAATAGGTGCAGATGCAACCTATCGCGAACGTACAGGCCAGGCCGAAAAAGAGACCTGCATGGTGGAAGGCCAAGGGCATGGCAAGGATTCCAGAACCCAAGCTACCTTTGAGCAAATGGATGAGAGTATCCGTGTCTCTGAAACAGAAAAAAATAAAAATATTAGCTCACTTGAAGACATAAATACTAGATTTCGAGGCGCTTGGACAGAGCTGAGGTTTACCCACTTCGTTGGGTATATCACCGATCACGGGAGTTTGGTTTAGAGATGGACACAGAGCCTAATATCGATAGTTACCTATATCGATAGTGATGATAGTTTGCGCCGGTAGTAATTTAAAATGTTTGGTATTATTTTTATTCTATGATACGACTAAGGTGAACAAACAGCGCGAAATTTTCGAAGTCCTACGATGGGGTTTGACGTTTACCTACCAAAAGCTCAGTGTTGCCGCTGCAGGATGGACGAATTAACCCCAAGACCAGTTCATAATCCTCCTTTATCCTCGGAAAATTTGATAATATCCGATTTTTACCAGTAGTTTTTTTATAAGGTATTTAAATAAAATAAATTTGTGTTTTAGCATATCACCCGCTAACATAAATAAATAAAAAAATAAAGTTTGTTTCAACACCAATCGAAAACAGTCATAGGCCGTCAGGGTTCTGCGCAGTAGCTTGTTAAGTGTTTCATCGCGCAGAATCCTGAAGAACAATGACGGTTTCTGATTATTGTTGGCACAAACCATAGAGATAAGATAACTCGGTGACACAAACCCATCAGAAATATATCTAATCAAAATCGAAAGTGTCACTTAGTGCACACTAATTAGCTTTTTAAAATTTAGAATAACGAGTTGATGTTATAATAGTGGACGTATAAAATTATCAGCTTTTTGTCCTTAGTCCTCATAAAGATCCCAAAGCTTCAAATTATCCGCCAATCGGATAATTATCCGCCAATCGGATAATTATCTGCCAATCGGATAATTATCCGCCCCACGGCAATACTGCAAAAGCCTTTTCAACTTCTGTCCTTGCTATACCATTTTATAAATTTAATTAAACAAAGAAACCAAAACATAAATTTTATAGGTTGTTTTTTTTCCTTTTTCGTCATGTCGTATCTCGAGCTTCGATATAACAGTAACTATAGGTTAAAATAAATATTGACAAATAGGTACTTACGATGTAGGATGGGGCAGACTTCTGTGCTGGAACGGATCGTATTCTCCGACTTCTGCGTCCCGCTTCTGCGTACCCACCAGCGGTACAGTGGACCCATTGGCCGATTGAGTAGGAACTTGATTTTGGTCACACTTAAAACTGCAAATTGATACAATTAGTCGTCCGCACCGTACTTGGTTAGCGATTAGTTTATATGTTTTTGTTTTCTTTGCAAGATTGCGAAATGGTTAGAAATGTGTTAGTGAAAAGAACGAATTTTTGTTTGGGTTGAGGATGTAAAGAACTGTTGCGTTGGTAAGGATGGTGAGAACAACGTGGGTGTACAACAAATTGAAAGGTAATGAGTTTTTCTAAAAATGTATTAATATATTTCTAGTTTCCGTCCGTTGAGTGACTGAATTCCCAATAAGTCACCAAGTGTCTCTGCGAACGAGGCCAAGGGAAAAAAGAAGAACGCGGGAGATACATTATAATTTAATTAGCGAGTCGTCTGAAAAAGACTGTTCTGTTTTAACTTTGTTTATGTTATATTGTGGTATTTCTTTGTCTTCTATCAATAAATACTTGTTGGTTAGGCTTAGGATTTCAAAAACACTTTATGTTATAAAATCACTGAGATAGAATAAAGAGGAGATGCTATGACGAAGCTAAATTGTCCGGACCTTTGTATTACATTTTTACGTCAATTTCAAACTCGAGTTAGTCAGTTTTGGTGAGAATAAATGCCATTTTTCGTTAAATAGCTTCATATAAATGATATAAAATTATTTTCATTCCATCAGTCGTTAAATATAAAATTATTCACTTCATATAAATCAAAGTACGACTCAAGTCGCCATTTTGATTACACTTTTCCGTCACTTGAAGTGCGTCCATTTTGTCATATCGTAAAATAGTGTTTATGTCGTTTCTACTTTATTCTACCTCGATGTATAAAACTGTAGTACAATGTACCCAAACTGGACTCGGCAGCCGTGTTGCCAGATCTATCTTTGTTAGGCTAGAACTACAATTGGTAATGGCTCAGCTCTAACTAGTCACGTGCCAAAGGTGACTGAAACGATTACAAGTTTATAATCGGAAATAATGAACAAGTCCGCCTCAACCGGTGGTCCATTTTTTACGGATTTATTGCTATTTTTTTAAAAAATAAAAAACTCTCCACCTTTCAAATTTGTCGTACAGCTCGAACCACACCCCGTATATACTTACGGAATTTGATTCCAGGATTACTAGAGTATTTATAGATTTCGAAATGTTGTCGATGACATGACTCTACGTACGTGTATTAAAAGAACACCTCTTACTGTGTGTTCTGGATTCCAAGTGCTATTTTTAAGTTAGGTATATGCAAATCGATTGTTTTTCTTGCTAAACAGGAAATTCGTGGGTTGGATTTATTAAATGTTGAACAATTGATTTTTCATGAAAAATAATTTATAATTCATTGTCCATATACCGGTAATTATTCATTAACAATAAGTTTTATTAAAAAAAATTGAGTTTAAAAGATAAAGGAGTATTTATTTTAATCTAATCTAATAAATATTAATATACAGGGTGTTTCATAATATATGCGCAGGACTTCAGGATGTGATAGCTCGTCCAAAAATATGAAAAAACCTTTCTATTAGATAGAGGGTGTTGAAATTGAAAAAAAAAAATTCTACGCCACTGGAAAAAGTATGGTTTTGAGACGCCCATTTGAACCGCCAATGTTTTCTACACAAAAAAGGTACTCTTGGTCATATGCTCTAAAGTCGACCGTTTTCGAGAAAAATCAAATTTTGTTTCATCAAGTTTTATTTCCAAAAATTGACCATGATTTCAACATTAAAATTTGATTTTTCTCGAAAACGGTCGATTTTAGAGCGTATGGCCAAGAGTACCTTTAATGTGCAGAAAACATTGGCGGTTCAAATGGGCGTCTCAAAACCGTACTTTTTCCAGTGGCGTAGAAATTTTTTTTCTCAATTTCAACTTCCTGTATCAAGAAAATGGTGTATTTTAGAGGGTAAGTTAATAGGAACGTTTTTTCATATTTTTGGACGAGTTATCACGTCCTGAAGTCCTGCGCATATATTATGAAACACCCTGTATAGTGAGCTACTTACAATAACGGATAAATTTACTTTCCACCTAATTACTCATTTAAAAAGAAAATCGATTTAAAATTTAAAAATTTGACATGATAACTTTATCCCTCATAGGTCACAAAGAACCTACGAGGGGTAACTACTACTCGTAAATTTTAAATGAAAAGAAGGAGTGTATAAAGTGTTTTTAATCCTTTGTTCAGCAACCTAGAGTGCATTTTAATTTTGGATATTCTTTATCTAAAAAAAAAAAAAATAAATTTAAAATTCTAAATCTATTTTAATACCCTTAACATAACATTAAACGAAAATAATTTAGAGCACAAGAGATATATTGTTTATTTTAAGCCTTTACTGTTTATTGTTTATGTTTGAGATCATTTTTTTATTAAAATTAATTAAGATATTTTCACATTTATTGATTCAATGTTACATTAACATAATGTATATTTCAAACGTAATTGCAAAAACTGATGTCACAGCTAACGTGTTAAAAAAGTATATTTGAGACAAATCGTTATCGGTTTATCACTATGCTAGCAGACATACTTTTACCCAATCAATTTTATCTATTTTGTCGTAATTTATAAATTCTCTAGATAAATGGAATTAGGAGAGATAACCAAGAGGATGACACATGGATGTACGTGTAGATGGGTGAAATGTCAAAAATAAATAAATAAAAAATATAATTACTTTCAGCATGAACTGAAGGAAGGAACAACATTTTCAAAGTGTATTCCTATTATTCTGAACAAAAAGAACAATAAATCCAGAGTCTGGCCGCAAGCACTGCAGAAATTTTGACAGTTATGAATAAGCAATTATTTGAAGCAAAATATCTAAAAGAAATGCAAAAAATGGGAAAATACGCTCAATATTAGTGAATTAACTGAAGATAATTGCGATCAATAGCTATGAAAACTGTATATCTTCTATTTAGGTTATATACTGATACTCAATGTACTAATAGTTTTGCGATTCAAGATGTAAACGTACCAAATGAATAAAATCACATACACATTTTAAGTGTACTAGATCTTTGTTTCCAGTGTTGTTCTTGGGCAAAAAAAATCGTAATCGACAGGCACTCTAAAACGTAATAGATTTCAGAAGGTAATTGATTTTGACTAAAAGGTAATAAATGTCATTTTAAGTTAGGATTCCTTTAAAACTAGACGCGCGCGTCCTCATCAAAAGATACTTTCTTTAACGTCACAAAAAATAGTTGGTTCTAGACATAATTCAAATTGTTTAAGCTTGCGAAGTCTGAGAATAGTAATATTTTTAAATTGTGCTTGCTTGAAATGTAGAAAATGACTGTGTATGAAGAAATTTTCTTACTTTTTTCTTGAATGAATAGTAATAGATTTTTGAAAAACGTAATAACATTTAAATCAAAAAAGTGATAGATTTATTACGAAAGTAATGACAAGAACAGCCCTGTGTGTTTCGCCTACAAGGGTGCGAAAATTTATTAGATCTTTTGAAGTACAATAAAACAAACATCTAAAAATTACAAAATCGTACTATATTTGATATAATGGTACGAGAGAGTGTTTACTGTCAAAATTTTGCTGCTTAATCGGCCAGAAAGGCGCTGGATGCTTCAATAGTTTCTGTTTTTTGGTAATTTAATAGAATATAGAGTAATTGTACCGTTGGTTGTCCAAGATTGTTCCGGGGCTCCCACACCAGCATTCAACCACATCACGTGGTGCGGTATCTGCGTACTTCTAGCAGCTCCGGTATTAGAAGTTGCCAATAGCTTACAAAACTATCAAAATATAATCAACACAATACTATTCTAAACCATGTATAAATGCGTGACATCCCTATTAAAAACGGTCGTTTTTGCACGATTCTTTCGACTTGGTCAGTCAAAATGACGGAATACGAGACAATATTCGGAAAAAGATTAGTAAAAACCGGCAAATAAAGAGAAACCATTGGAAACCGATGTATACTTCAAAAAAATCGTACTAAATGTCACTGTTTTTAGCATAAATGTCATTAAAACTGTACTAGATCGCGGGTTGGAAGAGGGTAGTACATTTCTGAATGACAAGTGACAACCAAAGTGAGTGTTTTGTTGTATTAGTAATTAAGGGCTATAATTTGAATTTTTAAGCTATTGATACGATTTTTTTTAGAAATATACTGGGTTTCCAGGAGAAAAAAGGATTTCACCAAACATAAATCAAACGATTTAATTTTAAACATTATTTGAACCTTCCTTTTTGTTTTAAAAAGACATGCTGTTGATGCAATGAAAGAGACGACATACAAATAAAAACAAACACAAAGAGATAACAAGGTGAAAATGACGATTTGGCAAGCATGACTGAAAAAAGCTTATGATTTGATTGATTTTTCATTTTGAAGGTTTTTAATATTTAAATGAAACAGTTACCTACGTACTGTCTGAAGATAATTGACAATTATTTATATTCAAATTGATATTGGCGACTGACATTTTTAAATTGAATTTAAAATCTATGTCTCGATCTCTAATTCATAAATGCCATCAGCATATTTTTTAGTTACATAAAGTCATGATAAGATTTCAAAAATCAATATTTACATAACAGATACGAAGTTTGATAAAAAAATATTCCCAAACGGTGATAGTTTTGATTTATACTTGGTAGAAATGATCAAAAAAAGCGCCCTATCTAACACGCCCACAAATATACATGGTTTTAAAAATGAAAAAAATCAAAAATAAAAAAATTTCAATTAAGTAAAATCCAATCACCAAAAAAAATACTAGTAATTAAGTATAACTTTCAAAAATTAAACAACAAAAGTTTAAACTCGAATTTAAATTTGAATTTGAATTTAAAAAAAAATATGTTGATAATACATGAATTTTAATACCTTCAAAAAGAAGCATTGTGATGTTCGATGGAATGAATGTATTGGTAGATAGCTGGAGCTTTTTGTACTTACTTAGTCATTATAACTGTGTTTACACCACCCTTTTTCTGGTCAAATTGGGCAATAATAGGCTGCAACAAAAAATAAAATATTAAGTAACTATTTAAAAAATATATGTCTGTATAAAAATATAATCAGTCAACCTTATGCAAATACGTACTTATAACATTGTTTAAAGAGTACTACCAAAGATTAGCGTACTATTTTTGAAACAATGCTTTATAATAAGTACTTGTACACAAGTGTGACTTTATGGAACTAAAAGTTAACAGTCTTTAGTAGTGTTGGACTTATCGTATAGATGGACATAGTCGTTTTTGAACTTGTCGAGAGAGACAGGAGAAACGAAGGAAGATATATTCCAATGAAATGGAGTGGGGTAGAATGCTTGTCAATAGGCTCGACATGCGACTCTATGGGCGCAGACAGATTATTTTTCATCCCACTCGGGAGTATTTGTAATAACCATTTTCTATTTCACATTGTTATTGTCTGATCCACCAGCTTGGGGATTGAACAATAATGTGAAATAGAAAATGGTTGTTATAAATAGTCCAGAGTGAGATGAGCAATAAAAATGGCTGCGCCCACAGAGTCACATCTTATTCTATTGATACAATATGCACATTGGCTTTCTACCTCACTCCAGTTCATTGATAAATTCCAATGACCTGTTGCTCATGGGAAATGACAGGTTATGATATGGCAATCCTGTGGTCCTGTTAGCTTTAACGGGTCAATCATATATATAGCTATATAGATTGCTCGAAGCGGGTCGTTTCGCGAACGGCCATATTGCTTCGCAAGTGTTCATTAACACTAACTGTATATTAAATTGGAAGCACAAAGCCGATCAACACAATCGAGCCACATAGCGAGGTGATATTTGACAGGCTGGCGCCCACAGGTGCGTGTCCAAATGTACTAAAAGGTAACACCAAAATTAAATTTAACACTTATTACATTCAACTACTACGCCTTTTAATTTGAGAAAATTACTTTAAAATGATCTTTGATTAATACGCAGCTAAAAAATGTTCCAATATCAATAATAATTAAAATACCATGATTATTGTCGCGCGAAGGCCTACCCTGACTACCCTGTCTGTTGTTTACTCCCGTGGTATGGAGTCTAGCGGCGCGCTGGCAATATAGAGACAATCAGACGTTTCTCGAATATACCAGAACAAGCGGTAGGTACGTGACGTTGAGTCATAGAGATGGAAGTCTAGGACAATCCACAACGTCTAGAGTATTCTGGTTACAGAGTTGGCTTGATATAAATATCGCGAGTGTGAAGACGGAAGTCAGTTGTATATAGTTAGTTTAGTTCAGAGTATTGGAATGAAAAGTTAAAGTGTAATAGATAAATTAGAATTGTGAGTTAGTGTCTAAGTATTATATAAATTAAATAGTACGTCATAAATAAATTGTAAATAGTGTGTTTTAAATAAATAAACTATAAATAAATTAGACTATCGTCACATTATAATAAAAAATAATATAACTTATCATAGTACGCCCGTGTAAAACGTGACGTAGAACGCTTTAAATTGTTCAGATTGTCATGCACACCGACCGTTTTTTTCACCCATGTCGGCTTAGAAATTAAGAGTAGGGTTTATGTCACATAGTTAGCCATCCAGTTTAATATGAAGGTCGGTGCTCATTAATCGGAGTTGGTCTAGCAAAAATGTGTTTTAAAACCAATATTCAGCCTTTGAATATAGTAAACAAAATAATTACTTACATTTTTACTTCAATTTATAAGCTTATGTTTATTTTGAAAAACAGACGATTAATCTATATAGCTATCTATATCATTGATCCAAGTTCACAGGGTTGCCATATCATAAACTGTCATAACCATGGAAACCATTTTCAGGTTGAATCACCAGTATTAAAGTTTCTCGATCCTAGATGTCGTAAATTACCAAAGAATCCATTTTTATTTATTTAAAACTAAGGATTTTTCTAAAATGTCTCAAATACATTTTGCTTTAACGGTTAGAACTATTTTTTTTGCAACAATTCTATTTAGTTCGAATTACAGAAAAGAGATACTTTATAATAAAAGGCAATGAATAAAAATACGAAAAAAATCTACAGATTGATAACATTTAATGTATTAAAATTAGAATTTTGGTTATTATATTTATTATATGTGATTAAAAATAAGCCTCAAGATGCTAAATCCGGTAAAGATTGTATACGGCAAAGATATCCACATCCTACACTTTATCATTATCATCAAAAGCAAAAAAATATTTTTAAACGATTTGTTGAATGTTAAACAAAACTCGAGAAACACAAGAAAACAAAAATATATTTTTATTTCGTATTATTTTCCCGCTAACGCAAATACCTTGGACAAAGTGACACTAAATTCGTGCAAATATGTTAAAAGTTATCCAACTTTGTTTTCATAATATCTATAAAATATAAAAACAAACATTAGGTACCAGTTAATGCGAAATAAATGTTTCTGAGTGGTTTAACGAACTAGAATAAGCACAAGAAACTTTAAAATCATACTAGAACTGGTATAAAGAAATCATTTGGTCTGTGCAAAAGATGTAGTCTATGGTATATAATTTTTGTTTAATAAGTTTCGTCTTTTGAATTTATTTGAATAAAAAATTGTTCTTAATATGGGATCTTTTGTGAATACAATGTAGTGTATTTGAATTAAATTAATATATTCATTCGTAAATAAAAATGAAAAAAATACAATGGCTATTGCAAAAAAGAGTATCTGAAACCTATCATATTGATTTATAAAAACCAGTAATATTTTGAGGACTTTTTAACGGATATCTGAATAGGCAGAGGACATTAAGTTGAAGAAGAATGACATAACCGAACAGGTTTAAAGTATGTGTACAAACCACATAGGATGCCTAATACAAGGAGTACGCAATTTCGTGAAAGTACAATCAGTTTATTATATTATTTCCTAACCACTTTCATGCACTTAAATCTATTTTTAAACCTCAATAACAGACTCTAATTCTATTTAACGATGCAACCGAATTGCATTCAATTATGAATAAATCAAAAATTAACCTTTTCTATATACTACACAGGAGGTCGGCCATTGTTTTCCGAATACTCATAATAAACAGTACGATTTGTCAAATTGTATAATATCTACGTTGTTGTACTTTGTTCTGGATACACTCAAACGACATGACAATCAGTTGGCAAATTTGCTGTTTCCTCTACGTCGAAATTAAATTAATCCGTGTATTAAAAATAAAATCGTAATTGACCCCAATCGTAATTTAAATAAACGAGAACAGAACGAAGGGTGTCCAATAAACCTTGGACCAATTCAAAAGCTGGATAATAATATTTTAATGTTCCTAGTCTGCTGAGGTGAGGGGCCACGACATCTAAAAATATTTCAACATTGGGTATTTTTAACGTTTTCTAATTTTACATCATTACGGTTGAGTCAACTTTGGAAAGAATTAGATAATATTTTAACGGACTTTTTCTATGTTTATCCGTTGGTTAGATAAGCGAAAATGTTGGCAAGGTACTTCCTTAGAAAGCTAGATAGATTTATTTTTGTTGTATGTATTCCACTCAAGGAAACCTTTATATTTTCGTTCAGAGATTGAATTTTTGTAATTTCGTTACAACAAAGGAAATATCTTTAGAGGAAAGAAAGTGTTATAAGTAATTAAATATTACATTGAATATTAAAAATCACAGCAGGTTGTTATAGAGCATTTTTTCGAGTTGTTTGTAAAGAAGTTTCAAAAGAAGGTCAATCAAAATTATATTATTGCCATTCCTTTTGGGACTACATGATCTATATCACTTTTAAAATACCTCCAAAAATACATTTTGTTTTTAAATATGCAGAGTAACTGTTAGCAGATCTTTAATTTCTTTGAATTATTTTAGAAAAGGTAATAAAATTCATTTAATAATAAATTACATACAAAGCCTCTTTGTGGATATTGGCAATGCTTTTTCAAGAAGGCAAATTTTAAAGATTTACTTTGTACTCTATGTAGAATAACAGGGATTTCAAACTACACCGCAATACTCCAATTTTGTTCAAATGCATAATAGACCAATTAGAAAACTAAAATATACCATTGATGTGAATTTATTACAAGCTGAATTATATCTACAGTGTTAAAACAATAAAAAACAAATATTAATAATATATAGACAAGTTATACCAGCCTACTTGATAGACTCGTTTTTTATATAGTTTCCAAATTATGGAAACTTATACGGAAACGAAGAAGGGACATTATTTTTTTCAACTTTGAACTGGGAAAAACAGATTTTTTCTAATGTTAACTAGGAAAACAGATGTTTGAGCATTAACATGCCTCAATTAACGCATCATCAGTCTCAAATCGTTTTCAGAATAAATAAAAATCGCAGGGAGCTAGACTGTAGTGAAGGTATCTAAGGGAAGTGATACGGCTTCCAAGTCTCCATTTAAAAAGAGAAAAAATAATCAAAGAATTTCGTGTTGAATTGAAAATTCGGAAGTCAGATAAAAATACCGCAATCTATTTTATTTAGAAAGGAATTTCATTCAGTAAAATCAATATCTATAAATACATTTAGGTACCGGAAGCGCCAAAATTGTGATAAAAATATTTACGGTTTACAAACCGATTTTGTATAGACCAATATGAAGTTGAGAGTTGATATTAATTAAACTGTCCTAATAGAAAATAAAAAGTTGGAATTTAAATTCTTTATGAACATATAGGTAAAAACAAATGTAAAGGTTGATCAATATTTTATTTTAATAAACATATTCATTGCAGTTTCCTATATGGTTAGCGTAGATGAAAAAACAGAGGACCTAAAATACATCCTAGAGGAACAACATTAGTATTACTAGTACCTTGAGTTTTTGTTGCATTTTTCTATTGATAGACAAATTCAATTTCATAATATCCCAATTAGAAAGATTTTTGGAGTGGTGATCAATCATCAGTGGGATTAAAAGCATTGTTATCAATTTGGCATAATTAATTTTGTTTATGTTTAATTATATAAATATCAGCATTTTATTCATATTTTTTCCACT